GACCCTACTACCTTAGTTAACTGAACAAAAACTGAGGGTGCCAAGTTAGTTTAGAAACTATAGATCTTAAAACTTTTTATAATTTGTATGAAAAATAATAAAAATACAAATTTAAACATTTCAAAACTTATTCTATGACGTCACTTAGATTATTTACATTACTAAAATAGTTTCTTTATGAAAATGAAAATGTTTTTCTAGGAAATTGGATTTTAGAATAAATTCCTCTTTATAACATAAACTTTTTCCAAAATGAAAAGATTATCTCTACAAAACTCTGTTTTATGATAACTAGGTTTACAGAAATATAAATCAAACAAAAATTGCTCAACTTAATTGAATAGAAAAAAGTAAAATCTTGACATTTTTTGATTTCCTATTTTTTTCCTATTTAGTTCAATATTTACTTCCTACTTTTGTAATGTGTTTTATTTTTGTTTATTTTGACTTGAATTTCCTATTAAGTTTAATTTTGTCATTAACTTACTATTCTTGTTCGAGTTCGTTATTGACTTCCTATTTTTTGTTTAAATTTGTTATTAACATCCTATTTTGTTTGAGTTTGTTATTAACATCCTATTTTTGTTTGAGTCTGTTAATAACATCCTATTTTGTTTGAGTTTGTTATTAACATCCTATTCTTGTCTGAGTCTGTTAATAACATCCTATTTTGTTTGAGTTTGTTATTAACATCCTAAATTCTTGTCTGATTCTGTTATTAACATCCTATTCTTGTTTGAGTTTGTTATTAACATCCTATTTTTGTTTGAGTTTGTTAATAACATTCTATTTTTGTTTGAGTTTATCATTAAAATCCTAATTTTGTTTGAGTTTGTTATAAACATCCTATTTTTGTTTGATTTTTTTATTAACTCCTATTTTTGGTGGACTTTGTTATTAACATCCTATTCTTGTTTGAGTCTGTTATTAACATCCTATTTTGTTTGAGTTTGTTATTAACATCCTATTTTTGTTTGAGTTTGTTATTAATATCAAATTTTTGTTTGAGTTTTTTATTAGCGTCCTATTTTTGGTTGAATTTAATTGTACTTCCTACTTGTGTCGGAGTTTGTTATTAAATTCCTATCTTAATTATTTTCATAAAATTATTTATTTCAATTCATTTGATCTGCCTATTTTCTTTTTATTTCCTTCCTCCTATTTTCCTTTTCTTCCATATTCCTTTTTTCCCTTTTTTCCTATTTCCTATATTGGTGTGAGTATGGCAATTTTCAGGTTCCATCCCTTGAACACGAAGTTGCTAAAAGAGTTGGCACAGAGGAGGGAGAAAAAAGTGGAAAAAGAGGAAAAAGTGGAAAAAGAGGAAAAAGTAGAGAAGGACAAAAAGAGAATAGGAAAGAAAGGCGTAAAAGAAGTGAAAATGAAAATATGTTGAAACTGGAAAAACCCAATAAAAAAGTTGAATTAAAAAGGCGGGATGGAACTTTTGAAGAAATTCCTCCAACTGGGAATACCAAAGGGATTGTTCATGCTTGGCAGGAAGGGCATCACCAGAATTGGGGTGGGAATGGTTATGTGATTAAACATGGGAATAAAGAACATTTTGACTATGATGCTGGGAATGAATGGTACCCTGAGAATGGGATTAGGGTCAAGGGTCCCTCAAGGGTACAAGGGACGGATAACCCTTTAGGTCTGTTTGCATCTTTACTCAGACTACTGTCTTATTTGGTGAGGGTCCCATCTTTAATTAAATGTATAGCTAAATCAATAGTTTAGAAACTCTTTAAAAGATTAATCTGTGACTTTTGACAATTAAAAAAAGTATTATCAACAATATTACTACAGGGTGTCCCAAAAAACATGGGAATTCAGTGACGAATTCGATATCGTCTTTGTTATGAATTAGCATTGTAATAATTTCAACAGCCATAATTTTATTAGGTCTGCTAGAATTTATTTTATGGAAAGGGTAAAAGACTGAAAAGATGTGTTTATAATGTCCCCGCAAGATGAACAGTGAAGACGGACAAGTTTACTCTGTTTGTATACTGCAATTTTCTTGTTTTACTAAGTACAACCGTGTGCAGTCAAAACATAAACAAACAAAATGTGAACATAGCAGACGAAACTCTTACAGATTACAACTTTCTCAGTAGGTATCACGATACTAAATCAAAGAATTATTGAAAAGACGATATCGAATTCGTCACTGAATTCCCATGTTTTTTGGGACACCCTGTATATTAATGGATTAACATATTTTGTATACTTTGTTTCCACTTCAGATACATTTTCATTCAGAAATATTCAAGGTCCGTTTTTGTTTTTAGAAAAATCAATTTTTTTATAAAATTTTTTATAAAAGAATTCAACACAGATACTAAAATTATTCTGTGCAAATTTAATAAAACTAACTAAATCGAAGTGTATTTTGACATTTAATTAACCCTATCACGATGGGGGGGGGGGTCCACCCTCTCAATGGTTTCTTCTAAATTACTTTTTCAACAATTTTATAATTTTTAACAACTCCAAGGGCAAAGTTATATGAGGGGAGGGGTGGAAAACATTTATATTAAACAAAAATAGCCCAATCGGAATAGGGTTAAAACTCTGTCGAAATTATCGAGTCCAGCTAAAAAGTATAAGACAGCAAATACGAAAGCATCTATATATAACAGGAGAAATATCTATATATAACGTGGGAAAATATCTATATATATAGGAAGAGAAATATCTTTATATAATGTGGATAAATATCCATATATAACGGGGGAAAATATCTATATATAACGGGGTAAAATATCTATATATATAACGGGGGGAAATATCTATATAACGGGGGGAAATATGTATATATAACGGGGGAAAATATCTATATATAACGAGGGATAATATCTATATATAATCGGGAAAATATCTATATATAACGGGGGAAAATATCAATATATTACGGGGACAATATCTATATATTTTGGAAAAAATATGTATTTTTAACAGGGGAAAATGTGTATATATATCGGGGGAAAATATCTATATATAACGAGGGAAAATATCTATAAATAACGAAGGAAAATATCTATATATATAACAGGGGAAGATATCTACATATAACAGGGGAAAATATCTATATATAACGGGGGAAAATATCTGTATATAACAGGGGAAAATATCTATATATAACAGGGGAAAATATCTATATAAAACATTGGAAAATATTTATATATAACAGAGGAAAATATCTATATATAACAGGGGAAATTATCTATATATAACAGGGGAAAATATTTATATATAACAGGGGAAAATATTTATATATAACAGGGGAAAATATCTATATATAACGGGGGAAAATATCTTGATATAACAGGGGAAATATCTATATATAACAGGGGAAAATATCTATATATAACAGGGGAAATTATCTCTATATAACGAGGGAAATATGTATATATAACGAGGGAAATATCTATATATAACGAGGGAAAATATCTATATATTACAGGGGAAATTATCTCTATATAACGGGGGAAATATGTATATTAATCTGGGAAAATGTGTTAATAATGGGGGGAAAATATCTATATATAATGAGAGAAAATATCTATATATAACTGAGGAAAATATCTGTATATAACGGGGTAAAATATCTTTATATAACAGGGGAAATTATCTCTATATAACGGGGGAAATATGTATATATAACCGGGGAAAATATCTATATATAACGGGGGAAAAAGAGTTTAAAAGTTAGGGCCTCTTTCTTATTTTAAGCTAGCAGGGCCCCTAATTTACCATGCTCTGTTTATAATATACGTAAACTTCACACTGAAAAATTGGCACCTATTAACTTTTGTCGTGGCAATGGCATGCATAGATATTTTTACTTCGTGAGAGAATTTAAGAGGGGGGGGGTTAAGAAGGATGGGAGGGGTGAAAAAGGGGGGGCAAAACAAGCCACTTGATGAGGGTTGTAAACAAAGATTAAATCTGGTTAAGACCGTCCAAGGATACACATGACAGATAACAGTTGAAGCATTTTCTATTGATTGCATTAAAAGAGATTAAATCTATAATATCATGCAACGTTTGGTTTAAAAGATTTCACGTAAGCAACATATAACATACTCTTATACATTGTTGGTAAAATCTGTTTTCAATCTTTAAGAATAAGATACCTTTTTTAATAAAGAATTATCAGTAGTGCTTAATTTTTTATAAACTTTAATTTTAAAAATCATAAAAATTAATATTACTAAAATACTTTGGAATAGGAAGACGATATTTCAGCATCATTTTGTTTATTTGAAGTTGTAATAAAGAAAATACTATCATCTTTTAATTCAATAAATTTTAGGATGGTGCAGAGTACGACGATAAAGGAAATAGGGTTCATGAAAAAGTTTATTCTTACAGGTAGTTCTTCTTCTTCTTCTTCTTCTTCTTCTTCTTTTTCTTCTTCCTCTTCTTCTTCTTATTTTTCTTCTTCTTCTTCTTTTTCTTCTTCTTCTTCTTCTTCTTATTCTTCTTCTTCTTCTTATTCTTCTTCTTCTTCTTCTTCTTCTTCTTCTTTTAAATCTAAACAAAATGTTTAAAAACGAAATTGTAACCAAATAAACCGCGGATGATGAGATGAATATGATGATAATATCATAATGTGGTAATTAAGTGAGTAATAAGCTTTTTTCACTGACAGCTGTTTCTATCCCATGTTTATGTGTATCCATTCTGTATAAAAGCTTGATATAAATCAAAAGTAAAATCTAAGTCTTCCTAATTATTTACATATATGTGACGACGACTGTAATAATTCAAATTACAATTTCTTTATCTTTTCTAAGTTTTATTTGATCAAAATCTTTATTTATGTTTTTTATTGTTTCAGACCTGAGCACCAGAAAGAGGAGAAACCTTTGATGAGATCTAGAAAAATATTCTAATCAAATTACAATTATATTCAGCTATATTTTTTTAGCCCAGGTCAATTTAGTTTTAAAACATTTTCTTAAAATTTTACATAATATTGCTTTTTCTCAATGTTGTTGAGATTAGCCTTACTAACGGGTAAGAAAATACAATTTAATAAAAGTAGAAATTAATCCTTCAGCCCCTTTTAATAAAAGACACACATATTTGCAGACCAGTAAACAGACCTAAAGAAGTGTTTTCAAGTCTTAGACTGAACTCAGATGGTCCCCAAAGGTAAAATTATAAAATTCATAACAATCCAAATTTCCCAGAGGCACTGCACACTAGACAAAAATTTCCGGAGAAATATTCCCGAGAAATTCTTGGGAATTTCTTGAGAATTTCTCAAGAATTTCAGAGGAATTAGTCACAAGAATTTTTTTCTCGAGAAAATCCCCAAAAATTCTTTAAAGCAAGTCACCAAAGCTGGAGAACTTGAGAAAATTCCTCACTTTTGTTACCTGGGTTCAAACTAGATAGAAGGAGAGGGTAAAATTAATGTGACATAACTGATACGAGTTTGTGACCTCGTAACTTCTCTAGTCTTAATTTTACGCACATGTATAAGAAAAGAAAATTGTTCCGGTTACGTTTTAGAAGTTTATAACATTTTTGTTCTGAATATAGCACCTCAATAGGAGGAGTTATCATTTTAATCCATTCCTTAAATAATAATAATTAAGCTAACGCAAAAATGTTAACATTAATTTTAAAAATGTACGTTCGCTAACGGAATTTCCCTGTCATTTCCAAAATTTCCTTTTTAGCTGAATTTCTCGGTAATTTTTTAAAAACTTCTGTTCGTAAATGGAAGTTTTGCAGTTTCCACTTTGAAGCGTTTTTTACCGCACATTGTCCCAAGTTTTCTTTTATTAACTTTAAAGTCTGGCGAAAATTAATAAGAACCAAGAGAAGAACTAGAACATAAATGATTATATGTGTTTTATTTTTAAACCAAGAAATAGGTAAATCGGTAAATGATCAATACGTCTGGTAAAAATCAAATACGTATTTCCATAAAAAATTGTAAATATGATCCAAAATTTTATTTTCATATTTAGGTTTGCGCTAGCCGGGCAAACATTTGGACCCTACCAAAGGGAGGCGCAGTCAATTATTGGAAACAGGCGATTTGAACTTCCTGGCAAGCCTACCCAACTTGAATTTGAAGCCCCTGCAAAACCTGAATCCCAAGCTACTAATAAAGAGCAAAGATTTTCTTCAAATCTAGAGCAAGAAACAAGGAAAGCAATTTCTTCCAATGGGTTTGGTCAAGTTAATAAAGAATAAAGCATTAAAAAGAACTTGGAGCGTAATAGCAAGTGATTTTCAATGCAAAGATTACAACGGTAACCTTGAAACCTTAATCTGCTTAAAAATATAAAAGTTCGTTTTCCTTACTCGAAAAATGTTTAATGCTGGTTAGTTCTCAAATGTGCAAGTCACTTATTGCAGAAAACCCTCAATTATTTTTATAAATTGATTTTTAAAAATGTCTCTATATTCAAATTAAGATATCTAAGATCATCAATAGCCAGAATATTCTGATTTAGATCTAATGGGATTGGGACAAAGTTCTGCTGTTTACTTGACTGTCTCTTGTTAAACCACAGAAAAAAATAATTTAGCATCGTAAAACACTAACGATAGTCCCATATAAATATCAAAATGATAAAAATACAAAACTAAAAAACTCTTGATAATCCATACTTAATCCAGATTCAATCAGAAAATTGCTTTTTGATTCAAGACGATCTGATTCTAATGTCGCAGAGAGATTTTATAACAGTAAAGAACAAGATAAAGTTTATGAAAGAAGTGCACAACAAGTAAGTAGAACTATTTAGAAAGCCGTAGAAAGTGGCAAAAATTAGCAGAAAGTAGTAGAAAATAGCAAAAATATGTATACTAAGAGAAAAAAGTAGAAAGAAGGAGACATAAATAGCAATAAGTAGAAGAAATTATAAAAAGTTAGTAATAATTCACAAAAAATATTCTTAATTTAAATAGGAAGTTTAGAATATTTTAAAGTGAAATACTATGATTATGTAAATGACCTGCTTTTATATTAGGATACTGGAAGTGACCTTCTAGAAGGTGAAAGCTTCCAACCTGCCTACACCCCCTACAGTCCTCCTGCAGCAGCATATGATGCTGGCTATGCTCCCCCAGAACAGAAGAGCATCCAAGATGCTGTAGCAGCAGGAGCAGCAGCATATAATGGGGTAAGCTGTTATTGTACGGAAATAGCAGATTATAATTTCTTCGTTTTTCAAACCTATTTTTACTGTTGTGTATGTTTCAATTATTCCAACTTTCCTACAATGTAAATGCTTCTTTTTTAAACTAAAGGTCAGCGAAACTTTCCGGTAGTTTTCTGACTTTTTTTTTTACAAGTTTTAGAAGTTTTACGATATTTATTTATAAATATGTTTGCTCTAGTGATGGCCAAACGGCTGAACCAAATAAGCTGATATTTTTTTGAGAGTATTAGTAACCAAAGGGGGAAAAATCAAATTTTTTAAAATTCCACTGGGCAGTGGCAGAGAGCAGGCTATATGTAATATAAACCTGGGCAACGCCTGGTTATCAAGCAGTTAACTAATATTTTAAAACATTCTTTCTTTATATTGCGAATATTTTCAATATTTTTTAAATAAATGTTTAGGCTGCATATGAGGAACCAAAGGGTAAATTTTTTTTAAAAATTCCACTGGGCAGTGGCAGAGTGTGTTACTATGGCTATATGTAATATAAACCTAGGCACCGTCTGGTTATCAAGCTGTTAACTAATATTTTAAAACATTCTTTTTTTATATTGCGAATATTTTCAATATTTTTTAAATAAATGTTTAGGCTGCATATGAGGAACCAAAGAGACTGTCCTTCCAAATCCATGGGCAAGAGGGACCTAACTCTTATAGATTTGGATACGATACTGGAGAGGGGTAAGTTAAAGGGGGCCCTTCAGAAAAACAAAAAAAAAGAATTTTACATTAAACCCAATTTTTGGATATGTGCATAATTCTAGAACAAAACAGGATTTCTTACAAATAATGTTGAAATTTGAATTTGTTGCTAAAGATAATGCTTTAAAAGAAAAAATTTCACACAAGAACAACACATGGAGATTGTAATATCATTTGGTCAATAGATATTTTAACATGTTAACCCTATTTAAGGGGCAGAATTTAAGGGGGGGGGTCGAGTGATCAGAGGATGGGGTTAATTTTACAGATATTGAGATTCTTTTGTGTCCTAACCGTTTAAAAAAATATATAAATGATGCTAAATATTTTTCGTCAATTTTTTTTTACATTTAAAAAAACTTGTTGTAAACAAACCCTTTACCCTAAACTATGTCATTCGAAAACATTTAGAGAATCTTGAACATATGGTCCATATCAATACAATCATTGTATTAGTAATACAGGGACTGATTGATTTAATAAATTTATCAAATACGGGGATTGGTTGTTTTTATACATGTAGTAAACACCTACTCCATAACAAGTTCTCAAAACGTATCTATCCAGGTCCAACCCGACCGCTATCAAGGACAACCAGGACACAACCCACCTGGCTATTTATGCCATCAAGGACACAAGCGTAGCTATCCAACAAGCTATTAATACAGGCTATAAATGCCACACAGGGTAACAAGACTAGCTATCCAACAAGCTATTATCAACCAGAGATGAGATTTTAAAAGCTTAAACCCGACTAAAACCCGGTCTTTGCGTCTGCTTAGACCCAAGTAAAGCTCAAGTCAAGACCCGGGTTTTGGATGGCCTTGAGTTTAGTGAGAACCAACCCTCTTGGGTTTTACTCTCTTTAAGGCTTGAGTCTTCAGCAGCTGATGATTGTAAATCTCGTAAAATCTTTAATATTTGTACATTTAAAATCCCGGGAATTATTTGTGGGGTCAAATTTTATTAATTATATAAAATAAACATACTATGAAAATAATGTATCTACATAAAGTTTGAATTTTCGAAATTTACATCTCCTTGTCACATCTGATCTGACGGCATTATGTCTGCTACAGAGAGAAAGCTTGCAAAACAGTCTCTCATTGGTCGAATCAGAACCAATCCTGACTTGGGTTCTATCTAAGCTCGAGTTTGGGTTTTAGTCGGGTTTAAGCTTTTAAAATCTCATCTCAGGACACAACCCACCTGGCTCGAAATGCCACACCGGACACTAGCGTAGCTTTCCAACAAGCTATTAATCCAGGCTATAAATGTCACACAGGGACACTAGCGTAGCTTTCCAACAAGCTATCATCAACCAGGACACAACCCACCTGGCTCAAAATGCCACACAGGGACACACATCGTAGCTATCCAACAAACTATTAACCCAGACTATAAATGCTACACAGGGACACAAGCATATGCTCTAAATGCCACACAGGGACACAGTTGTAGCTATCCAGAAAGTTATTAATCCAGGATATAAATGCCACACAGGGTAACAAGCCTAGCTATCAGCAAGCTATATATTGATCCCAAATAATGGTGACGATTCCACTGTTTAGCACAAAGCAGGATTTCTGGATTACTATTTCGCAGTAATCAGTACAGAGTTACTCTATAAACTAAATTTATCTAAATATCTTATGTTACAAGTTAACGTGAATTGACGTAATTACAACTCCTACCTCGTTGTCTCGTTGTCTGTATTACATGATTAAGACATCATGTGATGTATTTACCACACAGTTAAAGTTTGAATGACATATTTTATGATTAGCAAGAAAAATATAACATAGTTAAGCTATTTTCTCATATGTTCAGAAAATCATGTTTACACAATATTTGCAACATATACATATATAAAATACAAGGATTGATTGTTTTTATAAAGATATGAAAAACAGGGACTGACTACTTTTATAAAGATATAAATACAGTGACTGATTGCTATTATAAAAATATAAAATACAGTTACTGATTGCTTTTATAAAGATATAAAATACAGTGACTGATTGCTATTATAAAAATATAAAATACAGTGACTGATTGCTATTATAAAAATATAAAATACAGTTACTGATTGCTTTTATAAAGATAAAAAATACAGTGACTGATTGCTTTTATAAAGATATAAAATATAGTTACTGATTGCTTTTATAAAGATATAAAATACAGGGACTGATTGCTTTTATAAAGATATAAAGTACAGGGACTGATTGTTTTCATAAAGACATAATTTACATTGACTGATTGCTTTTATAAAGATATAAAATACAGTTACTGATTGCTTTTATAAAGATATGAAATACAGTTACTGATTGCTTTTATAAAGATATAGAATACAGGGACTGATTGCTTTTATAAAGATATAAAATACAGTTACTGATTGCTTTTATAAAGATATAAAATACAGGGACTGATTGCTTTTATAAAGATATAAAATACAGGGACTATATGTCGAAATTCTAAACCTCTTTAGTTCCAATTTGAAGCAATAATGAAGAGAATTTAAATATGTTATTTTTCAAATTGATTTTTTTAGATATAACAGACAGTTCAGATATGAGGAGAGAGATAACTATGGAGTTCTTCATGGAAGGTGAATTATTGATTAATTTATTAATTAATTGATTGATTGATTAACTGGTTATTTATAAATTGATTGATGGATTGATCAATTGATTAGAAAATGGGTTGGTTTATAATGTAAATGAGAATTAATTAGTAAGTTGATCTACTGATTTATGTATTGTTTGATTGATTGATAGATAGATTGATTGATTGAATGATTGAAAATCTATAAAGGTATGGCTACTATGATCAAGAGGGAAAGCTCCAGATAGTTAACTACACAGCTGATCCGGAAGCTGGTTTCCACGCTGAAGGCGACCATGTGCCTAAACCGGAATATTAATTTCAAGATCTCACCGCTAGATTGCAAGCTAGTCAAGCTTTAAGTCAGTCCTACAAAGCTATTAAATCAGTGCAATTTTAAATTTCATCAAAGAAACAAACCTTGATTATTCATGTATTTATGTTGTATGTCCAGTTAGGACAACATTTTATTGTATTCTGTAGCAGAAATCTCATCGAAACTTTTCAAAATGTTTCATTTAAACTTCACACCAATTATTGTATCTTATTCTTTTACTTAATAAATATTCATTTTTATTTAAACTCTAATAAAAATGCGCTAATAATAGAGAACGCACATAAAAGACGCATATAATACATCATACAATAATTAGAAGCAACATGTAACATTTATTCATATTTCTCTAAATTTTAACAATTTGCAATAACATTGAAACATTTAGTGTTGTACCTTCTCTTAAAAATGTGAATATAAAGAACATCAGAGTGACTTTTCAACGAATTCTCCTCATTGAAGCATCGGTATTAATGGGTTAAAAGTGCCATGAACTGTATATGTCTTTTCGGACGAAATGGGTTAAACAATTTTCCTTTTGAATTGCGGAGGGAAAAGGTTAAAAAGTGACTTTAATTCTTCTCTTTGGGTCATCAACAACTCCACATTTATGATTAATGAATATTTCAAGTTCAACTTTATCCTCCATTCCGTAACTTTTCCGCAGATCCTAAACATAACAATATTTCAAGTTGAACTTTATTCTCCATTCCGTAACTCTTCTACAGATCCTAAACATAACAATATTTCAAGTTGAACTTTATTCTCCATTCCGTAACTCTTCCACAGATCCATAAACATAAGAATATTTCAAGTTGAACTTTATTTTCCATTCCGTAACTCTTCCACAGATCCATAAACATAAGAATATTTCAAGTTCAATTTTCCGTAAGTTTTCCACAGCCATGACTTAACCCTGACTGGATCAGGCGCTAATGAACTCGGCATACAAGAGTGTCTTTGCATATAAGGGTCACTTGAATTACGCTTACAGTCCTTTTAAGGGGTAATCAGGGTCAGCGATCAGTGATCTCTAAATCAGAAATAGTAGATAAAGTACATTTTGAAGAGCGATTGGAAAATTAAAGTTGATGGAGAGATCAGTTATTTACAGATTCTTAAAGTTAAAATTAAAGGGACTGTAAGCGTAATTCCAATTCAATTTTAATTTAAGAAACTGATTATATTTTATTGTGTTTACTCCAAACAAAAAATATATAAAGTATTAGAATTAAACACTTTTAAACCTACGATATTTTTCTCATTATTTCTCAGATAAAAGATCTTTTCATTGAAAATCACGTCAAACTACGCAAGTTTAGGTTTACCAGGAGGTCCGGAGCTCATGATAACCCTGTATGTTAAAAAAAAATTGTATGTTGTTTGGCTAGACAAAACCCAACGTTTTATAATGAGGTCAGGGTTGTCACAGAATGTATAAGAACTATATGCATCGATAATGCAAGGATTTAAACAAATCACCAAACCTCTTAGGTCAACCTTCTTCTTTCTAAGTTGATGTAATGTAGCAATTATTAGAAACATAGTAAAGATTCAGAAAACAAGATATATGACACAAAATGACTAAAATGAAAATTTCCTTAGTCTTCTTTAAATAAATTAAAATTAATAAATTCGACCCCACTTATTGGATATCCATTTCTAGTCCTAATGAATTTCCACCTACATAACTTTTTCAGATATAATACAAGATTAGGTTGGAAAACTTCTATTACTAAAATCTTTTAAAACTCAAAGAAATGAACCTTTTTGACACTAACTCTGGTTTTCTAATTCTATTTATTTTTGCAACATGATGGTGCCTTAGATATTTAAAACTTAGAATTCTATAGAATTAAAAAGTCAAACTTTAAAATATCAAAGGCTTACACAATCTGGTTGCAAAGATATAGGGACTAAAACTTTTTAGTTTGTGACAAAGACTCTATTTCTTTACCTAAAAAAATTGTAAAAAATTATCGTTGTTCAGTAAAACTAAAACATTTACAGGTTTATCATGAGCTTTTAAAATAAACAGGTTTAGCATGAGGAATGTACATTTAAGGGATTTTTAAAAAATCACCAAACCTCTTAGGTCAACCTTCTTCTTTCTAAGCTGATGTAATGTAGCAATTATTAGAAACATAGTAAAGATTCAGAAAACAAGAAATATGATACAAAATTACTGAAAAATACTTTAAACTTTCTGCAAAAATTATCATTTGTTAATGAAGTATAAAAATTGAAAACAAAACAATTGATGTTAAAATGAATCATTTAACAAAAATTTAGTTAAAAAGATACAGTATTTTCTTTTAAAAGTTTTTTTACGATCGTTAAATTTGTTTATTATTATAAAAGGAGACAAAGAAATGTTCCTGAAAATTACCTTAGTCTTCTTTAAATAAATAAAATTAATAAATTGGATGAATCGGGTTAAGAGGAGAAGGGTGGGATGAATTTGGTTAAAAGGATAAAAATGGGATGGATTGTGTACAAAGGAAAAAAGAGTGGGATGAATAGGGTTGAAAAAGTAGGAAGAATAAGGTGGAGAGGAGAAGGGTGGGATTGATTGGGTTGAAGAAGAGGAGAGTAGGATGAAGCATGTAAAGAGGAGAAGGAGGATGGAATATACATAGAAAATATATTTATTTCCAACCTTTCCTGTCTCTCAATAAAATAAATTATTATAACCCTGATTAAAAGAATTGAGTTTTTGCAACAAACTCTAATTTTCTGATCCATATATCTTTAGATTCAGATGTTGTAGACCTTTGATATTTCAAACTGTGAGTTCTGTTAGCTCAAATAATATAAGTTTGAAATATCAAAGGTTTACAACATTGTGTTTCAAAGAAATAGGGATTAGAAAATCAGAGTTTGTGTCAAAGAATCAACTCCTTTATTGAACCTCATGATAAACCTGTAAATGTGTTTTTGAAGCTCATGATAACCCGGTATTTGGGATTCATCCTGACTCTGAAATCAAAGCCTCATGATAAACCTGTAAATATTTATTTAAAGCTCATGATAACCCATGTATTTAGGATTCATAAAACTCCAGGATTTATTCTATTTTAGAGATCCAGAATTTCAAACAATCCATCATATCCTTCTCCTCTTAACACAATTTTTTCTCTAGTTTTTTCTCTAGTAACCTTTATTATATATACCTCATGCTTAACTCTTCTCTTGTTAACCCAATCCATCATTTTGTGTCTTATATCCTGTTTTCTGAATCCTTGCTATGTTTCTAATAATTGCTACATTACACCAACTTAGAAAGAAAGAGGAGAAAAGAAGGATGTATAGGGTTCAGAGGACAAGGGTGGGATGAATTTGGTTTAGAGTAGAAAAGTAGGATGAATAGGGCTCAGAGGAGAAGGGTGGGATGAATTTGGTTTAGAGTAGAAAAGTAGGATGAATATGGTTCAGAGGAGAAGGGTAGGATGGATTTGGTTTAGAGGAGAAAAGTAGGATGAATAGGGTTCAGAGGAGAAGGGTGGGATCAATTTAGTTTAGATGAGAAAAGTAGGATGGATAGGGTTAAGAGGGGCAGAGTGGATAGACTGGGTTTAGAAAAGAAAAGTAGGATAGATTGGGTTTAGAGGAGAAGGGTGGGAAGATTTCGTTTAGAGGAGAAAAGTGTGATAGAAAGGGTTTAGAGAAGAAGGGTGGGATGAACTGGGTTTAGAGGAGAAAAGTTTTACTAGTAAAACAAAAACTAGAGGAGCTACGAGGTCACAAAGTTGTACCAGTAAAATAAAAGTAGAGGAGCAATGGGGTCACAATTTGATCAATTTAGTTTAGATGAGAAAAGTAGGATGGATAGGGTTAAGAGGGGCAGAGTGGATGGACTGGGTTTAGAAAAGAAAAGTAGGATAGATCGGATTGAAAAGGAGAAGAGTAGGATAAATCATAAAGAGTAGGACGAATTGGGTGGACAGGAGAAGGCCGGGTGGGATGGATTGGATTAAAGAGGAGAAGGGTAGGATAAATCGTGAAAGAGGAGTAGGTTTGGATGGATTGGGTTAAGAGTAGAATCCTGAATTAGAAAGAATCCTGGCGTTTTCTGGAAATTAAAAACCGGGTTATCATGAGTTCCAAACACATATTTACAGGTTTATCATGAGGTTTGGATCTACGATTTAGAATGAATTCTTAATACCGGATTATCATGAGTTTTAAAAATAAATTAACAGGTTTAGCATGAGGAAAATACATTTAAGGTTTTTTTTCAAGTTGCAAAGAGATAAGGGTTATGTAATTTGAGTTTGTTGCAAAACCTCAGCTCATTAGTCAAAACTTAATGTACTACAAGGGTAGGGTTCTTTGAGGAGATGAGAAGTAGAGCAGGATAAATTGGGCTTAGAGGAGAAGGGTGGGATGGATTGGGTTAAAAGAATAACGAGTGGGATGGATTGTGTCAAAAGAAGAAAGTGGGATGCATAGGGTTAAAAAGAATTGATTGGGTTAAGAAGATACAAGTAAGATGGATAAGGTTTAGAGGATATGGGTGGGATGGATTGGGTTTACAGGATAACTTTTTCAGATATAATACAAGATTAGGTTGGAAAACTTCTATTACTATAAATCTTTTAAAACTCGAAGAAATGAACCTTTTTTGACACTAACTCTGGTTTTCTAATCCCATTTATTTTTGCAACTTGATGGTGCCTTAGATATTTAAAACTTAGAATTCTATAGAATTAAATAGTCAAACTTTAAAATATCAAAGGCTTACACAATCTGGTTGCAAAGATATAGGGAGTAAAACTTTTCAGTTTGTGACAAAGACTCTATTTCTTTATCCAAAAAAAAATGTAAAAAATTATCGTTGTTCAGTAAAACTAATATATTTTGGTTGATAAATCGTTGAAGAGTTAAGAATGGATTGGGTTCAGAATAGAATCCTACATTAGAATAAATCCTGGAGTTTTATAAAAAATAAAAACCGTGTTATGACGAGCTTCAAACACAAATTTAAAGGTTTATCATGAGGTTTTGATGTACGAATTAGAATGAATTCTTAATACCGGGTTATCATGAAGTTTGAAGATAAAATAACAGATTTAGCATGAGTTATATACATTTAAATTTATTTTTAAGGTTGCATAGATATAAGGTTTATTAATTTGAGATTGTTGCAAAAACTCAGCTCCTTAGTCAAACTTAACGAACTACAAAGGTATAAGACACATTGAGGAGATAAGAAGCAGTGTGGGATGAATCGGGTTAAGAGGAGAAGGGTGGGATGAATTGATTGGGTTAAGAAGATAAAAGTAAGATGGATAAGGTTTAGGAAGAAGGGTGGGATGGATTGGGTTTACAGGAGAAAAGTAGTATGGATAGGGTTTAGAGGAGAAGGATTGGATGGATTAAATTTAAATATAGTGGCAATCCATTCTTGACTAAGACTATTTTGATTTATTTAATCAATGAATAAATGTCGAATAACTACGTCAGTTATTGAAATTTAAAAAAATAATAAACCAAAAAAATACCTTATGTTTAAAAACTCGAATTCAACCCTTTTATTTTGTGTTTAAACTGGAATATTGTGTTAAAATGTCACATTGAGTAAAGAAAAGTTACTTCATTCATGTGTTTATTGAAATACTACAATAAATCACAGGTGTATCATGACTTGCATGGAATACCCTGGAGAGTGCTTAAACAACACAAAAAAGTTATTTCCTCATAAATGTCGTCTTCCAGTGCTAATTTTCAAACCATCATTGATTCTTCTAAACATTGATAGTTTTTAATGCAAATTCCTAATCAAAGTACGAGGAAAAAATATCGATAATGGATGAAACAATGCTTTTGGTGTCTAAAATTGTGTTGATATGCACTACACTGCTAAATTGTATGAAATTAAAAATTTATATTAAACCTATTAATAGACCAATAGATAGTCTACTGGTAGAATAACATCACAAGGTTATCATGAGCTCATGATAACCCTGTAAACTTGTGTGAAAAATCTCATGATAATCCTGTTTTTCTTTGACCTCCAGATAGTGATTGGTTAAGCAGTTTCGATTAAAACAGTTTCGATAAAGGCATTTTCGACTCAACTCTAATGCTAGAATAAAATCACAGGGTTATCATGAGCTCATGATAACCCTGTAAACTTGCGTGAAAAATCTCATGATAATCCTGTTTTTCTTTGACCTCATGATAGTGCCTCATGATAATCCGGTGCCTCATGATAACCCTGTCAGATTAGTCAAAAACTCATCATAAACCGGTAAACGTATGTCCATACCTTCATGAGCTCTTTTTTCTTCTGATCTTGCAAAAAAGAAGATTTTGCAGCATTAAAGGTCAAATTCGCCAGGTAGGTTTCTGACAGTCCCCAGGAACTAAGCAGCTCAAATTCTAAAATACAGTGGCAGGCATTATACATGAAATAAAAAATTTAAAAATCTAAGTTTATTTATTCGATTTGTTATTCTATTGAAAAGGTTATGGGTAAAGTAAAAATGGAATGAAAATGGATTTTTTCTGAAAGAATCTATTTTTAACTTTTAAATGGAAATTTTAATGTGATGTTCAAACGGGAGTTTGAGTAAAGTGTTTTTGAATTAAGTATTAAACTTGCAATACAACGAGGTATGAAAGGAAATCAAACAATGTCCCTATATCTAAATCCAAATCGTGTGTACCCTAAAGCAGAAAAGAAACTAATATTATAATTGTTTTTTGCTTCCGTGGGAGTAGTTTTAAAGTATTTATATATTATCATGATGATTTTTTAATCATCATAAAGTTTTAAGTGGTTAAAGCTTCATGCATTATTGTACGAAGAACTTTGTGCAAAAAAGCAAAAAATTGAAGAAATACCAAGAAACGAAATTATCTGAAGTGTTTTCTTTTATATTTCTTTCTATAAATGGAATTATATTTTCGGAAAGAGTAAACAGTTAATGTTTGATATCATCTTAAAATAATTTGTTCAACTAAGTAGAAAAAAGCTTTTAGAAAGAATAGATAGAATAATATGATAACAATTCTTTTTTTGAATTTTCTAATTTTTGAGTGTTGATCTACGAGAATTTGTTAGTTCTTTTTAGCTAGACCAGAGGGCGAATTTAAAGAATTTGAGCCGAAGTTTAAAAAATATTTAGTTGGTTCCACTTAAATTTGTATCAAAACAAGTTTAGGTAAATGTAAATTTTAGAAAATATTTTTTATTTTTCAAGACAATAAATTCATAAACATTGCTTAGATTAGTAATTAAGTCTTTGGCACAAACTCAAATTTTAGAATCCCTATATCTTTGAAACCTGCTAGTATAAACAATTGATATTTCAAACTTAGATTATTTGATGTAACAGAATTTATACTGTGACATGGCTAAGGTCTACCTACCACTTTGGGTTTTCAAAGATATAGGGATAAGAAAATCAGAATTTGTGGCATCAACTCAATTTCTTTTAAACAAAATTTACACAAAAAGTTTTTACAAAATGGGAAAATAAATAATTTTCTCATTTGTTTTGGTCAACTAGAGTAATAAACTAGAGTAATTAATAAATTCTCTGGAATGAAATCTGGAATTTTAATTTCAAATTTTGATTTAAAATATCAGTTTTAATCTAAAGTTGTACAAACCTTGATTAATCCAGCCACCAACCAGAAGAATTTTAGGCGATGAAGAAGAGAGGGGACCAGAAATTTCAAATATTATAAACGGTAAATAATTTTTTTGTAAATGTCGTCTTCTGTTTAATCTTAGGCAAAGAAATTATATCGCATAACTTAATGTATTAATCTTACTCTTCAATTAATTTATGGGAATTTTGTTTGAAAAATATCCAGCATTAAAGTAAAAAATCACAGAAAGTTTCGTTAAAAATGCGAATTAAAGGACGACCTTTTACTTAGAAGTCTTTTAAAGTTAATGACAATAGTTTTAATGCATGAATTATTGGAGGATTTTAAAAAGGTGGATTAAAGAAATTCATTGGTGAAAATAAAACTGGGGAATATAAAGACGACTTTTAGACTCTATTTTTGATTAAATAGTTCAATGAACATAAAATACTGCAAAGTATTTATGATACCCAACTGCCAAGAATAGGAGAGTCTGCGTTTACAATACCAGCAGATCTAAAAAGAAAATAGTTTGGACGAAGGCTCTTAAATTGGATCATAGGAGTTCCTTACAGAGAAATATCCCGATTTTGTAAAAACTATTAAATTGTTAAATAAATATTATGAAGTTATATTTTTCAATAATTCATTTAAATCAGGTAGAGAGAGAATTCAATCTTGAATGAAATAGTAATGAAATAATTGATTACTGTTGAAAAGTACAAGTTTACATGGATACAAGATACGTGACATTCATTTTCTTCCTATAAACACTTAATATATATATTTCAAACCAAAAGTAAATGTTCTAAAGGACTAATAGATATAATTTCAAGTTTCAAACCCATTAAAGGTCCTCTCAACAATAGTACCATTTAAACATTATCTGGGTAACAATGAGGAAGATATCGTCGTTATTTCAACTTAAAAAGTGATGAATTCTGTAAATTATGTTCACTAGTCACTTTTATGGACTATGGAAAAATTAAATATTTCAAGATATAAAAACTAAAGTGGTTTCCTTGTTTGTTTTTAAATAACTATTTAATTCCTTACAATTACAAAAGACGACATTATGAAACGTCAGCATTTCTGGAGAATACGACCTTTGTTACGATCTTCAGTACCCCAGAAAATGCGTCAAGTTTGCGTAGGTTTTCTGATGCGCTATCTTTAATTAGCAAAGTCTTTGGATTAGTGTGTGTGTGTGTGGGGGGGGNGGGGGGTATAGCCACCAACCAGATTAGGGTTTCCAGCACCAACACTAGGAATACAGAGATGAGCATGATTATCACAAGGGAAATTAAGGACAATAATATTTGAATATAATAAATATATTCAGAAAAAATACTATAAAAAACTTACTTACTTTAGATTGAGACCATCCTCTATGAACCTAACTGCAGGATGGTAAAATTCACTCAATCCAACATTTTGGCTCAAAATACTAGAATAAAAAAAGAAAAACTTAATTTTTATTTAGTATTTTGCCAACCTTTAAATACTTATTTTATAAAAATTCACTTTAAAATGTTTTCTTTCTTATTTACCTGAGAGTTGGACAAATAGAGAAGATAACTTTGTTATTTATACAATCCTAGGAAATCATTTAAATTTTTTAAATAGATAAATTTGAATCATTTCAATTATTTGAATTATTGTTGTGTTCAAAAATGAAAAAAAAATACAATGATCTCCTAAACACTGTAAAATAAGAAGACATTAAAGCACTAATACTTGTATTTAATCAAAAAGCTTTACCAATGACTTGAAAAAATCAACTTGTTAAATAAAATGGATCTGTGTACATTACACAACTGCTGAGTGTCATGCTTAATGGACCATTAAAATTTAACTTGACTGTAACAGTCATCATTCAATTCAACGTAATTATTCTCAAATAATTGTTTTTTTAAAACATCAACAAAATTAAGGCTTTAATTGCCACTATTCTTATCCCTATTTCTTTTCAACCTGATGGTGAAACCCTTCGATAATTTAAACTTAGATTATTTAACATAGTTTAAAATATCTAAGGTCTACTACATTTGGTTGCAAAGATACAGGGATTAGAAAATCTGAATTTTTTTAAAAGACTCAATTTCTTTGAATTTGAATTTAAATTTAAATTTGAATTCAAGTGATTTCCTTGAATAAAGAGTTATCATCTACTACCCTGTATCCCTCGCATATTCTGTTAACTCCCAGTTTTTCTAAACAAAAGAAGACTTTTAGAAATCACCATTTTAAAAGTTACATTGCCGATGTTAACCCTATCACGATTGGGGGGAGGGGTCCAGCCCTTTCGCCCTGTGGTTTATTATTCTTGTTTAGAGGAATATATTTGATATTCATTATTCTTGTTTAGAGGAATACATTTGATATTCATTTTTCTTGTTAAGAGGAATATATTTGATATTCATTATTCTTGTTTAGCGGAATATATTTGATATTCATTATTCTTGTTTAGAGGAATATATTTGATATTCATTATTCTTGTTTAGAGGAATATATTTGATATTCATTATTCTTGTCTACAATAATATATTTGATATTCATTATTCTTGTTTAGACAATACAAGTTAAAGGGTACTGAGGTGAATCGGGAATGTAACTCAGGTAAAACAAGGGTAAAATATGTTAATGGTTTAAGAGAGATATTTTGATACCCATCTTGATTTTTTTTTGCTTACATGTGTGACTTAATTTATACATAAATGCAAAAATCTAAATGAGTCTTTAAAAAAAAATTTCAAATGTTTTTTTTTAATTTTATAAAAAAAACTGTAGAACTGGTGCGAGGCATGGATTTCAGTATTGTTAACAAAAAAAAGGGGGAAGCTTAAACTCAACCCACGGCATGCACTAAATCTATATTGTTCACTCTTAAAATCATACATGATTCATAATTGTACCTCATTTACTTTAATACATCTCCATAGAACTTACACAACTTACTCTAGCTTCCTAAAAGTCAAGCTGGTGCTTTGGAGTTTTCAGTGCTGTAAAAGTGTTTTGCGGCTTCATTTATCAAAGTCAAATTTACAAAAACTAATACAGATACCGATAAAAATGCGACAATTTCTACTTAAATATTGTTAAGATTAAGATTTATGGGATATAGCCGTACCTTATTTTAAAAAGTTTTGAGGGTAACCTAGCTTCTAAATCAGGTTATGATTTGAAAGATGATTAAATTAATATATAATCGCATAATGTTTAATTGTTTGGGTAGCTTGATAAGTAAAACCAATGTAAAGTGTACGTTACCTAAAGAATAAAATATTTTTGCTGAACTCCCAAAAGCTCCTAGATTCAGAGACATATGAACTTTCTTTGATTTGGCATCTAAATTGATAAAAATAAATAAATAAAATCATAAGTATTATGGGGATGAATCGTTTTCACTTTTTTGAAAACCAATCGTTTTATTTATTTTGACGAAGAAAAAACGAAAAATCTGAATAAAAAATCTTACAATCGTTTTTTAGTTTTAGTTTGTCGTTTCGTTGACGTTGGCGTTTTAAACAAAGTATATTTTTGGTCGGAAAATCCTTAAAAAAAACGATTGCATGGTTGTCTTGTTTTTTGTTTATTAAAAGTTCGTTCTTTGTACTGTGTGTTCGTTTTTTCTTTCTTAAGACAGGTTAAAAGTAAGCCTTACAATTTTTTATACTTTTAGCGTCTAATCGGCCGGGCAATGTTCCCTTAACAAACGGCAAGTTTTAAAACTGAACAGAAGAATCCGTTAATGAACGGCAAAAACCGTTAATTTTGAAATAGTTAAGTATTCGATATAGCCGTTATTGAAAAATAATTAACGTTTAACAAAAAATTAACAAACAGAATAAATAAATGTTGTGTATTTTGATGTTTTTAAAAGTTGTCTTAAAATTTATAACGACTGGCACCTCCAACGATTTCTGAAATATCTTAACAAATTGTAAATCTTAGAAAACTGTTAACAAAAGGCCTAAACATGCCCAGCTCTAGTGTTGAATTCTTTTAACTTCAAAAATGTTTTGAAGTTACACATTGGAACAATACAATCCCGGTATTCATGGGTCTTTAAAGTCCAAATACGAAAAAAAAAATAGTTTTTGTTCCAGGATCCTTTTTCAAGGAACACTTTCCAGTTAACAGTCAAAATGAAGAAATAAACCTTTTTAACTTAAACTTTAAATCAAAGGAATTGAGTCTTTGTCACATTCTCAAATTTTCTAATCCCTAATATATCTTAGCAACTAGATGGTGTAAATCTTTTATCTTTTAAGCTTTAATAATTTGATCTACCAGAATTTATAGTTTGAAATATCTGCGACATTGGGCTACAAAGTTATAGGGATTAGAAAATCTGAGTTTGTGTCTAAGACTCAATGCCTTTGCAAGCTTGAGATTTCTTATAAGATCCCAGTACAGTTTTCTAGGCTTCTTTTGATTTTGAAGGGTCAAATTTTTAAATCATTAGTTTTGAAATTAAAAATTTAGTTCAGCGCCTTTTCAGCTAAAATGTGTTACCTCTGAGGCTCTGAACAGATTCATTGTCAATAAACTTTTATACTTTTAATTTATGAAGTGAGGTGACCGGCGTTGCCCGTTGAATTTTAAAAACACTTTGGAAGAAAATGGATTTAAAATTTTAAAGAAAAAAATTCTCTTTTTGAATAAAAATCGATTAAAAAAATTTTTAAAAAATATCAGTCAATTTGGTCCAGCAGTTCGGCCAGCTAAAGCTAATTTATATACATATAATTTATATACATATAATTTATATGCATATAATTTATAAATATTACCTTTAATAGATGTTTCTATTTCCTGAGAAAAAAATCCAGGAATTTCTAGTTCTTTTTCTAAAAAATATTTAAGTGTAAAATTCAAAAAAAATTTTCTCTATAGCACTCTCATTTTCTCTTTAGCACTATCATTTTCTCTATACCACTATCATTTTCTCTATAGCACTATCATTTTCTCTAAAGAACTATCATTTTCTCTATACCAATCTCATTTTCTCTACACCACTCTCATTTTCTCTATACCACTTTCATTTTCACTATACCACTCTTATTTTCTCCATTGCATTTTCATTTTCTCTATACTACTCTCATTTTCTCTATACCACTCTCGTTTTCTCTTAACCACTCTCATTTTCTCTATAACACTCTCATTTTCTCTATACACTCTTATTTTCTCCATTGCATTTTCATTTTCTCTATACTACTCTCATTTTCTCTATACCACTCTCGTTTTCTCTCATTTTCTCTATACCACTCTCATTTTCTCTATACCACTCTCATTTTCTCTATACCACTCTCATTTTCTCGATACCACTCTCATTTTCTCTTTACCACTCTCATTTTCTCCATACCACTCTCATTTTCTCTATACTAGTCTTATTTTCTCTATACCACTCTAATTTTCTCTATAATACTCTTATTTTTTTCTATTGCACTCTCATTTTCTCTATACCAATCTTATTTTCTCTATACCACTCTAATTTTCTCTATAGCACTATCATTTTCTCTATAGCACTATCATTTTCTCTATACCACTCTCATTTTTTCTATACCACTCTCATTTTCACTATACCACTCTTATTTTCTCCATTGCATTTTGATTTTCTCTATACCACTCTCATTTTCTCTATAACACTCTCATTTTCTCTAAACCACTCTCATTTTCTCTATACCACTCTCATTTTCACTATACCACTCTTATTTTCTCCATTGCATTTTGATTTTCTCTATACCACTCTCATTTTCTCTATAACACTCTCATTTTCTCTAAACCACTCTCATTTTCTCTATACCACTCTCATTTCCTCTTTACCACTCTCATTTTCTCTATACCACTCTCATTTTCTCTATACCACTCTCATTTCCTCTTTACCACTCTCTCTCATTTTCTTTATACCACTCTCATTTTCTCTATACCACTCTCATTTTCTCTATACCACTCTCATTTTCTTTATACCAATCTCATTTTCTCTATAAAACTCTCATTTATGACTTTTAGAAAAAAGCACTTTAAGGAAAAGGTTTTGTTGTAACAAAAAACTTGATGGTGTTTCTGAAATTGTTTAGCACTTAGCTTATTTTGCTTATGCTTGCTGCAGATCTAAATTTACATTTAAAATGTATGTCACTTAATACTAGAAAAAAATAAGATTTGTTTTATTTACATATTTTCCGACGTACTTAAAGCTATTTTTAAAACCTTTCCAGTCGGAGGACTAATTTCCTTTATGAATTGACCTTGAAAAATTGGTCTCTGAACGTTGGATCTATTTCAGAGGAAATTATTTTCAAAACTAACACTAACACACCAATGGCCGAATTTAAAGAATTTGAGCGGCGGTTTAAATTTAAGCCGCGGCTTAAATATTGTTGGTTCCATTTAAAATTGTATCAAATGTTTCAATATTTAAGCTGGCGCTTTATTTAAACCGGGTTTTGACGGATTTAAACCGCGGCTCAAATTCTTTAAATTCCATCTCAAGTCTGCAATGATATCTTATGCAAACGTATAAATCTTTAGATCCGAGCCAAGTTGAACAAACTACACACATTTATAACTAAGGGCTATAACTATTTATTGAAACAAAAAATGCCAACTTTAAACTAATAATAAGGTGTGAGAATCAGTTTTTGATGATACTTGAATTCATTTTCGAACATTTCAGCTCATGTCAGGTTTTAAGAAAATATCCTGAGATGGAATTTAAAGAATTTGAGCCGCGGTTTAAATCTGCCAAAACCTGGTTTAAATTAAGCGCTGGCTTAAATCTTGAAACATTTGATACAATTTTAAGTGGAACCAACCAAATGTAAGCCGCGGCTTAAATTTAAACCGCCGATCAAATTCTTTAAATTCGGTCACTGGTTTTGAGACATAAACTCGAATTCATATCAATGTAAATTTTCAAGCTTTTACGCACTTACGTCACAAAAACAAGATTTTCAATAAGGTAATATAGAAACAAAATGGAAAATAAAATCATAAATATTCTTTTAAAATTTAAAAATCATCATTGCATTGATAAATTAAATTGTTAATATTATTTTGTTCTTACAATGTAGATTTAACTAGTAATGCAGGATATTGTTAGTTAAAAATGCGGGAAATAAATTAACTTTATTCTTTTAATAAACAAATAAAATAAATTTTAGTTAATTTTTCAGTGATTTTTTTGTAATTTATGAAATTGGGCTTTGTTCTGAAAAGCGGAATATAGTCAAAACAGAAAAGTGGGTTTTGTCTCGAAAACGCAACAATGATTCAAATTCAGGATATGTTCGAAAATGGAAAACCTGACATTGTCTTGAAAAATGTCAAGGTTTTAATATAAAAAGAATTCCTTTTATAATTTCAATTACACAGAGGAGTTAAAAATTGGGAATTGTTGTCCTCGTCATGTTTAATAAAATGTTGGTAGGCATTAATTTACTATCAATATGGGCCGGAATCCTAAAAACCAAGTCTTTCAATTTGTGCCCATTTCTAACACCCAGTGTTAGAAATTAGTTTTGGAACTAATATCCCCTGTAATATTTACTTTTAATTTAAGGAATTGTTCTAGGATGGGAGGAGGGAAGGGGTAAGGTCGAGATGCCCCACCCCCCTCCAGCCTTTTATAGGGTTAAAATTAAACCTTTATACTATCTATACCTTGAGGTGTATCAAGACCTCCTTCTCTCTCCTTCATGCAAACATACTCTAGTCCAACAACTCCCTCCTCCCTCAAGTAAATTTTATGGTATTTACAAATATTTTGTAAAAACAATCTTGAAATCTCAGCAAATATGTACTGCAAATCAATCTTGAAATGTTACCAAATATTTTGCAAACACTATCTTGAACAAATAATTAAATATTTTGCAAAATCTGGTTTGCCCAGGAAACCGATCAGTGATCATATGCTTAAAACAATAGCGTTTTCAAAAATCTTTGCAACCATATGGTGCAAACATTTGATTTTTAAACCTTTGATTATTATTATAACAGTTGAAAGAAAAAAAAACAGTTTATAGAAAATGTCATTATGTACAACGATTCACACATGAGGGTTATAAAAATTTAATTAGGTGAAGATTCAAGATTAAAAGTATATTTGAAGCATTAAAATTTAAAGTTTTCATTTTTATCTCTCTTTTTTCTCAGCTCAAGTTTAATTTTCTTTTTCCATTCTGAATCTGACAGATTTTTCCGACATCTTGCAGAGTTATTGGACTTTTCAAAACTTTGGAAGAGGTTAAAAGAATATATCAACAGTTTTCCCTATGAAAATTAATTATTTTTCATTGGTGCTTCACGATAACAGTGAGTTACAAATTTATGCTGGAGACAATATTAAAACAAAATGTAAGAATTTAACCTGTTTTAAAAATGACGATACTTTTAGTTAGGGTCCAGTCGGAATTCTCTTGCGCGGAATTGTGCAAAATTGCGTGGACGTGGAATAATGCAGAATTAAAGAGCTCAATTACGGATTTGCGAGGAATTAGAATACACAATCGTTGTAAACCCCACTCAGTTTTACTCGAATTAAGTAGAGATGAGCATTCTTGTTTTTAAACGAACCAAATTTAAAAATGAAATAAAAAAACGATATTTTTACTAATTTTTATAAACAACATAAATAAAAAACAATCGTTTTTTTTACTGAACAAACGATTTTACTGAGAAAATTAAGGAATTATAAATGAACGATAATGTTAAGCACAAATGAATTTTTTTTTGAACGATTGAATAATAAATGAAAAAAAAGTCGAACTTGCCCCTCTCTAGATTTGAGTCACATTTCAAATGGAAGCTCATTTTAAATAAAACTTGTCTTAAATCATAATCTTCAATTCACAAAATTAGAATTTCAAGACATCCTGTTCAATTTCCTTGATCTAGATTCTAGTCTTACTTTAGACATATTTCAATTTTTTCCGCCATTTTGTTATCTTGGCCATCTTGAAATTGTAATATAATTCCACAGTTGATATCAGCTGAACGTTTTCCACCTAGATATTACATTGTTATTATCATTTTACTTAGAATTCTAAATTTAAAATTTAATTAATGAAAAAAATTCTTTTAACAAAAAAGAATGTTTAAAAACAGATAAAGGAAATGAGTTTTGCCATAAACTCTGAGTTTCTAATCTCCTGATCTTTGCCACCCGATGTTGTAGAACGGGCTGGTAAAAACTCTTTAACATAATGGAGATTTTTGAAAATTAACAGAACAGTCCATTAATGAACGGCAAAACCGTTAATTTTTATATTGTTAAAAAGAGTGTTCGCAAAAAAAGAAGGGGGTAAAGGCTTAAGTAGAAAATTATCAGATGGTGATTGCTTCTAATCTTACTTCAATCTGTTGCGTCTATAAGGAGAAAATTGATAAAAACGACTCATAGCGTAGCATTCATAAAAGTTCAAAAAGTTGCAATATTCGACTCGGATTGTAAAAAATCTATTTAATTCTAAACAAACTATTCAGATATTAAAACCTACAATCATTGATTTTTTTCGACGTATTCGTTTAAAGTTGAGATTTAAAAAAAATATAACTATTTTTCATGGCTGGCGCTGGATTTTCGAACATTCCTGACAAATATGAAAAAGTTGTCTTCATTATTTAAAATCCTTACAAAAGGAATGAATATGTCAAAAGTAAAATATATTTTATACCTTTTAATCCTTGTTGAATAGATGTTATACCTTTATATCCTTGTAGAATAGATTTTATACCTTTTAATCCTTGTTGAATAGATGTTATACCTTTAGATCCTTGTAGAATAGATTTTATACCTTTTAATCTTTGTTGAATAGATGTTATACCTTTAGATCCTTATCTCCAACTTCTGTATTATTTCTATAGTTGACTTCATTCCTTCGTGATTATTAAGAAAACCAACTTTTAATATTCCTGTCATTAAACTTTTAAAATAGTCATCATACTTGCTTTCAGTTTCTTAAAATTATTTAATGAAATCGTTTGTTCAGTTTAGTTCGAAAAAAATCTTTCGTTCAGAAAAAGAGATTTTTTATTTAGTTCAAATTAACGATTAAGAAATCATTCGTTAACAGTCAGCCTGGCCAATAAAATGTGAACGTTTCTCGACAATTTTAAATCGTTTTTTGTTCATTTATTTGTCCATTGCATGATAATATTTCTCAACCACGCCATCATTCACGAAAAATGTTGTTCGTTGACAAAATTGGAGCCCATCTCCAATCTCAAATCTCTAATCTCTAACTTCTTATCTCTTACTTCTAATCTGTAACTTTTAATCTCTAATCTCTCTAATCTCTAATCTCTAATCTCTAATAACAGTTGTGCCCATCTAACCTGACATATTTCCTTGGCTATTTTCTTGATTACATCTAGGTCGTCTTTAACCACCTTGATACATTGATCCAGCCTCTCTATATTTACACTTTTTCAGTACAATTGTAATTTTGTCAATCATATTCCAAAGGTATTGAGTCTTTGTCACAAACTCAAATTTTATAATCCCTATATCTTTGCTACCTGATGGTGTAAACCTTTCAAATTTCAAACTTAAATTATTTGGTCTATGAGAATTCACAGTTTGAAATAACAAAGATTTACAACATTGTGTTGCAAAGATAAAGGGATTAGAAATTCAACGTTTGTGGCAAAGAGTCAATTTCTTTATGCTCGAGAAAAATGCAAAAATTTTGCGAAAAAAAAATACTGAAGAGAAATTATTTATTATTACATAATACAACTTCTAATGCTGAACTCTCAGAGCAAAGAATTGTTTGCGCAATTAATCGTTGCAGCTACAACGTTTATGATATTCGCGAAAATAAGTTTTGCAAAAAGTATTTTGCAATATTTCGCATCGTTTTCGCATTTTTTGTGCTTCATTCATTTTCGCAAAAAAATACGAAATTTCGTTGAAAAGTTTGCAAAATACGAACGAAAATTTCCTTTTTTAATAGTTATCTCTTGCTTAAATCAATTTGTATACAAAGTATTAAAGATTGTTCTTAAAGATGTATTAAAGATTAGCATAGGTGTTACCCAATGCTATTTTTGTTTTATGTAAATGGAGGGGGGCCGGGGAGTGTATCCCCCCCCCCATATGTTATTTCCCTTAGAGTTAAAAAACAGAATTGTGATAAATGTCTTTAGTCCAATTTGCTAAAACCAGCTTTTTAAAAATAAGAACTAGCTTTAATGGTTAGGGTGCTACTGCTTTTTTAAAAGTTTTAAAAAAGTTAAAAAATTATTTCTGAAAAAAGCAGAAAATGTTTTTAAAAGTGTAATTTCCTTGAAGGTCGAGTAGTATTGTTGGCTCCCGAACAGTTAGATACGAGCTGACTTCACTAAACAAAAGAAAAAATTAACAAACATCCCCCCCCACACGCACACTCCCCCTCTTTCTAAACAAATAATGGAAATGAAATTGAAATGCCCGTGTTTTTATTCAGAATGATGAAAATCATATTTTCAAAGGTCATGAAACTTAAATCTTCAATAGAACAATAAACATTTATTGGCAGATCTTTAACCTTCATAGCTTTATTCTTTTATTTTCTTAATATTAGGAATTCTCAAATATTCTTTATTATTTCAAATTTGTGTAAAGGGGATGGGGACGTTTGACTATTTTTTATTTCGTTCGCTCATCGTTCTATGCATTAACGACCCATTTCGCTCGGTTTTTTTAAACATTCAAAAGAATATTGATCTTGAGTTCGTTCTTAAAATTACTGTTCATTTTCCATATCATTCGTTTTCTTACTGAGTGATCATTCGATAAAATCGTTCGTTTAGTAAAAAAAATGATAGTTTTTCAAAAAATTGTTTTATACAAACTGGCATTCAGGGATTAAATTATTTTTTAACAATTGTTCGTTTAGAAAAAAAAGGTCGTTTTTTTTGGAAAAAAATTCCTTTAGTAAAAAACACTTGTTTTATTCAACATCGTTCGAAGTATTTCATATAGTTTGATTTGTTTTTTATCGTTTTTAAAAAAACGGTGTTTTTTAATTTCATTTCATCTAAGTCATTCCATAGAGTTGCTTAGTTGAAGGTTAAAAGAGTACCCCATGTGATTCTGGCATGCCAATCGATCTTGTATTGTATTGGAGCTGGACATTAAATTTACATCCTTTAACCCTAAACAGGCTGGGGGGGACGTTTGGCGCCCCCCCCCATAGTTTTTTTTTCCTAGCACTCTCATTTTTGACACTATCGCCGTGAAATAGTTTGACTTTCAATGAAAAGTCTGGTCACTCAAGAAAAAAAAACTAAAATAGCCCATAACTTTTTTGTGACTAAAGCTACAGAGCTAAAAACTATATTTTTAAAAAGCCCCTGAAAATGCATGCAGAATCATGTGTCATACTTTGATATTTCTTTAAAAAAAAAAAAATCTTCACTTTTTTGACCCTTTTTAGGCATTTTTTTTCAACCCTCCCTAGCACCCAAACTATTAAAGTTAATTATCAGTCTATTTTTTTTTCTATGAGCTGGCTTTGAAAAATTGGGCTATAAACATGCATTTCAACCTTACCTATTCTCTAAGGTATTTTTCTAGGGGGGGGGCATACATAGATTCAGACGCCCCAGCCTTTATAGGGTTAAGAATTAGGTCCATTATATAGCTGTAGAGATTATAAAGCAATATTTATATTTAATAATTATATTGTGTTATGTTAAAATAGTTTTTTTTGTAACGATTTTTATATGAAACAAGATTTCTACCTTAGTTCTACATCCTGTTCTTCATTATTACACGCTGAGATATAATCCCTTTCAACATTAATCAATATAAAAGTAATTTAAAAAATTTGCATATTTTATTGGTGGATTTGTGAAAGTCAAATTTCTTTTATTATGACCATTAATCAACCTTCCCTGGTCGGAAAAGGTCTATCAATTAAAATGTTGCACTAAATGGGCTAGACGAAGTGTATTTAAAACCAAAACACACGAAAAATGATATAAAAAATTTAACAAATGTATGACAAACTGTTCCTTTTGTTTTGTTCATCCATAGAGTTTACATCAGGAAATTTCTAAAGAAAAAACATTATGAATCATAAAAAAAGTTTTAAAGAATTACTAGCGTAATTTCAAGTGACCCTCCAAAGGTGACAATGCCAGATTTACAAGGGCACCCTATGAAGTTTTATCTAAACAAGTATGAATTATTAGTCATTAATGCTCATTGCTTAGAAAACTGACTATTTTTAATTGTGGTTTCCCTACAAAAGGAACAACTTCAGGAAAAATATGTATGACCAGTTTTGAAAATAAAATAATAAATCAGGAAAAATCAAAATATCTTTAATTTATTGATCAGATAATTATTAAATCGGGCCTAACCATCTGTGCATGGAAGGTCCACTTGAAATTAAGCGTACAGTCCCTTTAATTTAAAAATTTACCAAATTTTTATCTTTGACGATTTGCCACAAGGTGGAATGCCTAGAAATAAAATAATATTTACAAAAACAAGTTTAAAGGAATTGAGTCTTTGTCACAAACTCTGAATTTCTAATACCTATATCTTTGCAATCCAATTTCGTAGACGTTAAATATTTCAAACTATGAATTCTGTTAATTCAAATAGCCCAAGTTTGAAATATGAAGGGTTTCCACCATTAGGTTGCCAAGATATAAGGATTAGAAAATTTGAGTTTGTGGCAAAAACTCAATTCTTTTATCTATGGCCGAATTTAAAGAAATTAAGCCGCGGTTTAAATTTCAGACGCGGCTCAAATATGGTTGATTCCACGTAAATTTGAAACCTGCCCTCAATTATAACTAGTTTTTTGCAGATTTGAGACGATGCTAAAATTCATTAAATTCGGACACTACTGAAGCATAAAGTCTGACCGCGTCAACCTTGTTGCCCCGGCTAGTCCGGTCCATAGTGCTAGGCACAGACAAACTGGGATCGGAAAGGTTGACCCGACTCGGAAATTCAAATGTACTACGGCTGTCCGTGTTCCTCTTCTAACGTTTAATGGGTCCCACCTTAATAGATTATCAAGTAAAATGGCAACAGAGAATTGGACCCATTATACATGACGTCACTAGTTTCAAATATAACAAGGAAGACATCAATTTCTCCCATTAGTTTCCCAAGATTAAATAAGCAAGTGTAAAAACAGAAAATAAAGAAAACAAAATTGCATTTATTTCACTGTAAAATAAGCACTATATGTTCACAATTGTTGATAATTTTGTCGGATGAAGAATACTGCTGTTCTGAGAGTGTACAAATTCTACGTTGCCATCTAGTGTACTAGAATCTATTTGGGTCTCACTATATATTAACTTCATTGTCAATGTTTATTAATTAAACCTTATTTCATAAAGAAATGGACATAAGATGATTTTCTCCTAGAAAAACTTTATTATAAAAAGAAAACATTAGTTTTAGGACAGAAAAACTTTTCACAATGCTTTTTCCAACTTTTGATTATTTAATTATTGTTTGCTCTGAGGGCGGTGACATGAAAACCACTTTCAGGAATTGCATTAAATCAAGGCAACTTGAATATTTTTCTTTTCCGCGCCATGCCTCAATATTTTTTTATTTAATGAAGTTAATTGATTATGACTATTAAAGAACTGGATAATATTTAGAAATTAAAGAAAAGTTTTCAAAAATTAGTTTAGGAATGAGAAAAAGCTGACAATAAAAATGAATATTTACCTTATACACCCTTAAAAATCAATTTTTTGGAAATAAATATTTGAAAACGTCATAAATTGTTGAATATTTTTTGTTTCAGACAGGTTAAAGGTTAAAAATGATATTTAAAAAATGATTTTCCTTCGAATTGAAGAGTCAGATCAACCCTAGTCCTGGGTAGAGGCTTTCTTATTCTACTTGGTCCACGGTAATAACTAGATTAGAATAGAATAGAATAGAATAGAATAGAATAGAATAGAATAGAATAGAATAAAATAGAATAGAATAGAATAGAATTGAATTTGATAGAATAGAATAGAATAGAATAGAATATAATTAAACATAGATTAAGATAGATTGCGCATAAGACGACATTTTTCATCTTGAAAGATATAAATGTACAGAGATGTTTAAGAATAGAATAGAATAGAATAGAATAGAATAGAATAGAATAGAATAGAATAGAATAGAATAGAATAGAATAGAATAGAATAGAATAAAATAGAATAGAATAGAATAGAATTGAATTTAATAGAATAGAATAGAATAGAATAGAATAGAATAGAATACAGTAGAATAGAAAAGAATAGAATAGAATAAAATAGAATAAAATAGCATAGAATAAAATAGAATAGAATTAAAAAGAATATAATAGAATAAATAGAATAAAATAGAACAGAATAAAATAGAATAGAATAGAATAGAATAGAATAGAATAGAATAGAATAGAATAGAATAGAATAGAATAGAATAGAAATGAATAGAATAAAATAGAATACAATAGAATAGAATAGAATTGAATAAAATAGAATAAAATAGAATAGAATAGAATAGAATAGAAAAAAACAGAATAGAATAGAATAGAAAAGAATGGATTTCATTAACAAAAAAAACTGTCATTGGCTGACAATATTATGTAATTTTGACTAAACGTTTGTTAAATATAAGTACATGCATATTATTTCTCTCAAATAGTCTTATATCGTCTAAAGTATTTAAATAACATAAATCATTTTTAAATATTCAAATAACGCAAATTATTTTTAAATGCATTACCTGTAAAGCCCACCGCATTGCGGAAAAGACATTTTGTAAACTTCTAAAATAATATTTAGATTGTGTAAAGTTCTAAAATAATAAAAATAAAATGAAAAGTTCTAAATTAATTAATATTATGAAAAGTTCTAAAATAATAAATATTGTGAAAAGTTCTAAAATAATATGAATATTGCGCGAATTAAAAAGATGCTTAAAAATGCCCGCTTTTCATAGAACCTATATCTTTTTCACACTCCATAAAGCTTTTTTTTACTTTTTCTAACATTACAAATAAATCTAAAATTTTTATTTCTAAAAAGTTGTTAGTTCATCGTCGAAAAATACTAACAATCCACCACTAATTTAAATATAGTGTAAGCAATAAGTATGTAACTTTCCTTTCCTTTCCTTTTCCTTTTATTTCTATTGTTATATTTTTTTAGAATTGGGGGTAAATATTCCCACAACCTCTACTTTTAGAGGTTTTTAAATATTTTCTCCTGAAACACTTTATTTTGTATGTTTTTGTTATATTTCATAAATAAATATTTTTTACTTTTACTTACATTTAAAGTTCTAAAATAATATGAATATTGTGTGAAGCCTACATTATAACAACGTAACATGATTAGCTTAATTACGCTGGATATATGTTGACCTAAAACTTGTAATTACGCTGGATATATGTTGACCTAAAACTTGTAATTACGCTGGATATATGTTGACCTAAAACTTGTAATTACGCTGGATATATGTTGACCTAAAACTTGTAATTACGCTGGATATATGTTGACCTAAAACTTGTAATTACGCTGGATATATGTTGACCTAAAACTTGTAATTACGTAATTAACTTTAACTTGTAACATAGAATCCACAATACATTTAATTAATGAAGATATTTTTTTCAAGGACTTAGCACACCATGCGTATCTATATATATAAAGTTGTAATCTTGTTTGTCCGATCATAACTCAGGAACCCGATTTACCTCAACTTTTGATTGGGAAACTCGGGAGACCCACGGGAATGTTCTTATCTTGGTTTTGAGATTCTAAATTGAGTGGGTCGACTTTAATAGAGAAAATATAGTTTCACGGTAAAATCATTCAAGTGCAGGTAACAGCGGGAGTAATTTTTAGTAACCTTGGCAGCGTTGGGTTCCCAAGCTAGAAGTAGATAAAGCCGTTGCGTTGTTTTGAAATTACGATCACATTTATAGTGCATATATATATATATATCTATGTATATCTATGGCACTACTATTCCGCGCAATATTAGAAGTGCGCAATTCCGCACAGTTCTGCCTAATTCCGCGCAACGGAATTCCGATTGGAAACCCTAGCATATATCTTTGATATGATAAAGTTCATTCAAAAAGCAAAAACCTGCATTTTACGTTTTTTTCTTAAATAAAATTTTTAAATCTTAACCTTATAAAGGCTGGGGGGTCTGAATCTATCAATAGCCTGGAAGGGACTTTTGGCGCCCCCCTCCCCCCTAGAAAAGGTCCTTAGAGAATAGATATAGGGTTGAAATGCATGTGCACAGCCTCATTTGCCAAGGCCAGCGCATTGAAAAAAAATACACCGATAACGTTAATAGTTTGGGTGCTAGGGAGGGTTGAAAAAAAAGACAAAAAAGGGTTAGAAAAATGAAAATAAATATTTTTTGTTTGAAACAACTATGAAAGTGTGATACATTAGATTTTTTTCCAAAGACCGGAATTTTTTTCGCGCTAAACCCTATATACCTTATGCATTTAAAAAAAAATATTTTTAAATCCTTTAAATTACTATTCATTAAAAGTCACACAATTTCGCGATGATATTGTCAAAAATGAGAGTGCTAGGACGAAATAACTACAAAGGGGGCGCCACACCCCCCCCCAGCTTGTTTAGGATTAGATGTATCTAATATTGATTGTACAGCCTGTAAAGCAGTGGTAAACCACCCAACACTAAGCCAATGTTAAAACTAAGTTAGTTTGAAGGTTTATATTTGGTTTGGACATGCAATCTAGGGTTTGGTTTGGCATGCAATCTAGGGTTTGGTTTGGCATGCAACTTAAAAAATTTTTACTGTACTAAATGTTTGGATTTTATTTAAGTTTCAGAAAAAATGCTGAACTATATTTTTTTAGTGTAGGAAATTTTATTATTAGGCTTTGCTTCCTCCCAAGCTTTTTTGCTCTAAAACTATCAGTATTAACATTAATTTAAGTTTTTTTTCAAAGGAACTAAATTATTGCCACAAACTCAAGATTTCTAATAGAAGTTTATGTTTTGAAAAAGGGTTTCCAACAATATTTTTATCGAACGCAATTCGTTCAGTTTCTTTCAAAATTTTCATGAATTTCGGTAAGTTTGAATTAGAGCTGTAGATCTAAAATTCATTTTGTCAAACCAATTTTTTTACACCCTCCCAAAAAACTTTTACAATTTTTTTAAACCTCCGCTAAAGTAAGAAGTACATCTTTTCTTCAATGGATGGAGTCGCAGGAAACGTTTGGTGGCAGGAAACGTTTGGCGGCAGGAAAGGTTTGGTGGCAGGAAACGTTTGGTGGCAGGAAACGTTTATTAAATTTGTTGGTTTTAAAGGGAATGTAAATGTTAATACAAGAAAACTTCGATTAAAGAGTGGCATGTCCGATTCACACAAGGTACCCTGTAAGCATTGTCTGAATTGGATTTTTTTAAATTGGGGTTTCAAAAAAACTTGTGCATTTCTACTACAGAAATATCATCTAAAACTTCCATATTTTGAAAAACGAAAGTGTTGAGAGGTTTACAGTTTACATAAATCCAGACTGCAATAAAAAGTTGCAAACATTTTCAAGCCATGGGTCTACTTATAAGTTTTGGAACACTGTGTCTTTTGTACCCCTACACATTTTTTATTTTTTATTTATTTATTTTTTAGAACATTTGTTTTTAATTTAAGTATATTTTTATGTAATTTTAGGTATTCATAAGGAACTGAAGATAAAAAATTCTTATAGATTTTCGCTTGAGAGCTTGCAACTTTTGGATCACTGTAAGCGCTAAGGAAATCGACCTTCTGAATTCAAAATATGTATAAAATAGTTTAGGGGAGGTTTGCCAATTAAAAAAGTTTAAATTATACTTGTTATTAAATGTTATTTTCCGGTTCTTTTAACTATAGCGAATTACCTGACTAGTTTATCCTCTGTCTTTTCATGCAATTCTTTCAGGCCTAGTAATATGCATGCACAATGATAATGGTAATAATGTTGTTTTATTATGCTTGATGTTGTTTTTGATCTTATAATATTTAAATTGAGAGTTATAAAAACAAGATCAAAGAATAGGAGTTATTTTGTCGGACATTGCAGAGATTTACATCAATAAAAACTGTTAAACAATTCTGTATTGTTTTATTTTTAAAGATTTTTCATGAAATTCACGATTTTTTTTCACTTCAAAACTAGATGAAATTTTCCTTTGAATTAAATTATTAAATCTTTTTCGTAAACCTCAGAGATTCTGTAACTCAAAACAACAATGGGTCACAAAACAACAATGGGTAACAAAACAACAATGGGTCACAAAGCAACGATGGGTCACAAAACAACAATGGGTCACAAAACAACAATGGGTCACAAAACAACAATGGGTCACAAAACAACAATGGGTTACAAAACACAAAACAACAATGGGTCACAAAACAACAATGGGTCACAAAAATAAGTTTCAATGGTCTTAATTTTAAGCTGAAGTTATTCATTTTCATTTTCAAGCAATTTCGGTTCCTTGCACTTTTTTTAATCTACAATTTGTCCCAGAAGGCGTTTGGTAAATAGTTTAGAATGTCTTCTTCCATAATTTGTTAAGTTGTTTAATACCAAAAACAATAATAAAAATATTATATAGGAGTCATATTATGAATAACTTAATGAATAAATGAATAAATGATTAAATGAATAAATAAATAATTGATGAAATAAAGAAATCAAAGTAAAATGAATTTGAGCAAAGAACGAATTAAACTGCCTGTAATATCTAATCATTTTATGGAAGACGACATTCAAAACTATTTACCAACTGTTATGTTTCGTGGGACACCCTGTATTTACTGCAGATGATCAGGATGAAAAGTCTAAAAAATTAATCCCTGCAATTTTTTTATTTGTTCACTGATATTTTATGATGATTTAAAAAAATATTTGTAAATATTTTATGATGCACATTAAGATTTATATATCAGTTTACATAATATCATGGCTTTGTTAGTGTCTATGCATCAAATGTAAGTGATATAATATTGCAACAGCGAACATTTTTAAATAGTAAAAAAAAATAACACTCTAACACCAGGATATGTCTCAAAATCTCTAGTTTTAATGAGAGACATGGCACATCATAAATAAAAACATTCAAATTGAGAATATTGCTTTGCTAACAAATATTTTAAAAAGGGTGTGTGTATGCAAAAAAAGAGGAAAAAAACCTCTGGTCAAAAAATACATCACAAAAAGGTCATTATAAACATCTTAGATAAGCATTTTAGAAGTTGCATTTAAAAAAACGCTTTTTAGCAATATGATTATTTTAATGATAAGTAGATCACACAGATTGAAAATATTATTGATTTAAGAACAGTTTTAATGGTGCTTAAATCTTGTTTTGAACCAATAATATTACACAAACATATTGATCCATATCTAGGCTTTAGTCAACAATGATAGGCCTGACAAGGAGGAGATATTCAGAATTAAAGATTAAAATGTTCATAATTTTCGTCTTTATAATTCCCAAGGCATATTGCAGTGGTAAGTACAGCATTATTAACAAAGAATTAGACTTTATTGACGACTGTACAGAATTTATATTGTCTGTTTCCTTAAATTTTGTATTTCCTGAAACTTTAAACTTGTTTATTTCTCTGCTTTATCATTAAATAAGCCACAAACCGATTATATTTAGCCTGGAATTCGTCATGTCGTCTTTACAGCCAGTCTCACCCTTTGTGAGTAACCCATTGTGGTTCAAAGGTCTCACGCTCTCAATCAAAATTTATGAGAATTTTGCCAATTACTTGTTAAAAACCAAAGCTTTAACAACAAGTGCTTTATAGTGCTTACATGTGAAGGGCTACAGAAAAAATACAAGTGAGTCAAAGCAGTAAAATCTAAGCCCTCTAAGCCCACTTTGCCACTTGCCACACTTTTAATTGATGAGACTGTTTATAAGCAGACTGAATCTCTATTAACCCTGTAACATAATACATGACTTTTAACGAAATATGACGCTAGAGAGATATTCTGTAAATTTCGAAATCATTTGCGTCAAAAAATCTGCATGCATAACCTGATTAATCTGACATAACATATCCCACGAAACACGACAGCAGCAAGACGATTTGAAAGTCGTCTTTGATATGTGGATTTTTTTTATTTCGACCTTCTTTCACCTGCATGATTCTTGAAATAATAACCAAAAAATTCTGGGATTTTCAAAATAGGATCTGTCTTTTTTGTGCTGTCAATATCACCAGAGGTACATGAGCATTTTGTTCATATTTAATTTTTCTTAATAAAACCAAATTTATCTAAATCTGAACAACATTAAACATATCTCGGGTTATATTGAGACTTGAGAGCACACACAAGGCAGACTACATTTTGGAAATGCCAAGACTAGGATATTTTGTGACTATTAACTCTAGAATTTTACTTCTAAACTAGGGTTTGCAAATTAATGCCGTTAACTATTTTAAAAACCAAAGACGACACTCAAGACGTCTTGTTATACTGTCATGTTTCGTGAATCGTGCACTGTGGACTAAGCCAGTGGGGTCGGTCAAATAGTCTTAGGATTAGGCCGGGTACTGTAAACAGTCTGAACTAGCCATGGTAGTTGTCATAGTTAGCCCTCCGACGGGACTATGCCAAGAAAATTGACCCATGTCGTACGTTAGTCTGGTTAGGACGACGTACTTTACAGAATAAGGTCAAGAACCGGGCTACCAAAGGATCGGGTCAGTACACACTGTTATCTGGCAGGCCGGTACAAACTGGGCAGGTCCTGTTCGAATTCAAAGTTACTAAAGCACAGAGTGCGAGGGACTTATTTTATGTGCATCCGAAATTTATAACGATATGTAGAAATTCGTTCAGAATAAGACAATTTTGGTGAAAAGTCATAATCTTAACTAATTTCTCTTTATATCATGTAACACTGATTATATAAAAAAGTCAGACGACATTGAAAAGTACATACCATAGGGAAATTTTGTGATAATTGTTTGAAAATCATGCAATGGCAGTGGCGCTACTAGGGTTTTTGCAGACTAAGAAAACAGCGATAAGCCCCTTTCCGACAATCGAAGACAGAGGGACTTTGATTAGGGTTTCAAAATTTTCGTTCAATCTCTTTCGCGAAAACTTTGCCAAAATTTTTGCACAACCTTGACGTTGAAAAAGTGAAGAAGTTTCAGCGTTATAATGCAAGACGTTTTTAGGTNAGTTAACGATTTTTAGGTTGTCATTAAAGTCGTATTCCTTGTGCGTAACCCTGTATATTCAAGATTCAACAAATGCAGATTATCACTGATAAACAACTTATTTTATCAGTTTTCATACATACAATTTTTAATTAAATCAGTTCAATAGATTTAATAAAATCAGTTTAATAGTTTTTAAAAAATCAGTTCAATAGTTTTAATAAAATCAGTTCAATAGATTTAATAAAATCAGTTCAATAGTTTTAATAAAATAAGTTAAATAGTTTTAATAAAATCAGTTTAAGTTTTAATGAAATCAGTTCAATAGATTTAATAAAATCAGTTCACTAGTTTTAATAAAATCAGTTTAATAGTTTTAATAAAATCAGTTCAATAGTTTTAATAAAATCAGTTCAACAGATTTTAATAAAATCTACTCAACATAGTTAAAAAACAATCAATTCAATAGTTTTAAGAAAATCATTAAAAATATATTAGTATTTTTCACATAATTAGTTTAATTGCTTTTAATCAGTGTAAAATGAGGATCATTTTGCCTTTGCACTATAATTTTCACACACATTATTTGTCCTACACGTCATGCTGTCCTGCACATAATTTTTCACAAACTTCATATGTCCCGCACATAGTTTGTCCTACAATGCACATAATTTTTCCTTCACATAACATGTTCTACACAATTTTTGTCCTACACATGATTGTTCATACACTTCATATGTTCTACACATGAATTATGACACACATCATTTACATCATCTACAAATCATTTGTCCTACACATAATTTTTTTCTATACATAATTTTTCATAAACGTCATATATCCCACACATTATTTGTCCTGTACATAATTCTCTTGTACACAATTTGTCTTATACACCATTTTCAAAACACATCATGTGTCCTACAAGTCCTTTGCAAATTCATCATTTCACCTACCTATCATTTGTCCTTTAAATCATTTTTCCTGCACAACATTTGTCATGAACAAAGAATTCTTTGTACAGATTTTTGCTTAACCCTATTCCTGCTGGGGGGAGGGGGGGGTCAATTTACTGTATAAAATGCCTTTTTTTTGACGACGAAATGTGCACCCTTCAGAAGGTGGGTGGTGAGGATATTAAAGGTCGGAGAGTGTTAGGAATGCCAGAAACAAGCTTAACACATGTGATTTAATGGGAATCGATACCCATATTGTATACCATGCGCATAGAATAAACACAGAGTGGGGATGGGGTCTCTTTAAAAAACAGACGGTAGTTGGGGTAGTAAGGGTAGTTGCCATTCAGATTCAACTTCAAGGGTCAGGGTGGGGTCTCTCTAAAAAACAGTCGGTAGTTGGGGTAGTAAGGGTAGTTCTCATCCCATCCCATCCCATCGCATCCCATTCCATCCCATCGCATACAGATTTTTAAAATATAATTAATTCTTGCTTCTTTTACACATGAATGTGTACAATAATATTTTAGCTTTTTAAAGGGTGAAAACATGACATTGCCATCTAGGGGAAAAATAGCTTTGCCTGGTTTTCTGTGTGAAAGAACTAGCAGTTAAAAAAATAAATTTCCTCTTTACATTCCCCTTTCCTTTTCATTCCATCATCCCCCTTCCCTTTCTCCCTTTTCCTTAAAGGAAAAACATCACATTTTCACAAGAAAGGTTTTGATTTTCTCTATTTCTTACTTAATTTTTTTCCCTCTTAACCCTNAAAATCCACGAAATTTTTTGTGAAAATCCGCGAATTATTTTTGTTTTGTTTTACGATGTACACAAAGAGAACATGTTCACAATTAATTTAGGAGATGGGCGCGAAGCGCCCTCTAAGGCTAGAAAGAAGGGCGCGAAGCGCCTTGAATTTCTAGTTTATATATAGATAACTGGATTTTGCGATAAAAAATTCAATTCAAGAGCTTTCCAATGATGTATCATTTCTCATATTTGGACATCAAAAATGGGATTTAGAGGGGGGGTCAAATAACTCAGCAGAGATAGGGTTAACTATATTCTGATTGGGCTCTTTTTGTCTGACATTGATTTTCCATAAACCAACACAAATTATACCTCTAACTTTAATTTTTTGGGGAGAGTTTTAAAAATTTTAAAAGTACACTGGAAAAGTGTTGATTTTTCCTTTTGACAAATATTAACAATTAATATGTGACACATGTTATAATAGCAATTTTTCAATTTTATTAATACAAAACTTTTCATTTGTTTTGGAACACCAACCAGCCAATGTTATGAAGTTAAAAAAGCTAAAAATATTAAGCATTGTTTTAATTATAAAGAAAAAAACTAGGGGGATGGAGAGAGTGTGAATGCTGGCTAAACCCTGAGGACCCTGTGTGTGGAGTGGATGGAATAACATATCCCAATCGATGCATGGCGGACTGCACTTTGACAGACATAGAATGTGAAGGTGAATGCCCATGTGTGGAACAATGTTTCAATGAATGTCCGCCATGTAATATTGCTGTGTGTGGCATGGATGGAATATCTTATGAGAACCATTGTCATGCTGAGTGTAACCACACAACAGATGCATGCACAGGAAAATGTCCTTGCAATCCTGCAAATTGTGAGGATATTTTGGATCCTGTTTGTGGCAAAGATGGGATAACCTACAAGAATCCTTGTCAGGCCAGTAGTAGTTATGTTCTACAAGCTTGTAAAGGTCAATGTCCATGTAAAATATGTGATTGTCCAGAGACCTATACACCATGCTGTGGTACTGATGGAGTTACATATGACAACATATGCGAACTAGACTGTGCACAGGTATTCAATTTTAATCCATTTTAGAAGAAAACATTGAAATTTTTTCCGACCTCGTGATCAGAAAAAGATTGGCAATTAAAGCCATGAGACATTAAAAAAAAATATATATTATAGAGAGGAGGACATTGTATTGATTCCAAAGAGTTAAAATTGTGCTTCTAAGGTGGAACCAGAATGTGAGCAGGAATGCCCTTGTCCATCGAAATGTGAATGCACAGAAGAGCTGGCCCCAGTGTGCGGAGTAGATGGAGACACATATGAAAATGCATGCAAAGCTGCCTGCAGCAATACAGATATTGCTTGTGAGGGAGAATGTCCCTGTAAAACTTGCGAATGTCCAGAAATCTCAATATCCTGTATTGGTGATGGAGTTATCAAGTCCTTTCAATGTGAACTAGATTGTGGAAAGGTAACACTTTTGACAATGTTTAAATTGTATTGAAATATAAATCTAATAGTGGACTGCACATAAAAGGTTGATGCACTTAGGTTCCGGAGGGATGTGAGGAGGAGTGTCCATGTGATTGCACATTTGAGTGCCCAGATGTTAATGACCCAGTTTGTGGAGTAAATGGGGTCACTTATCCTAACAGTTGTAAGTCTGTTTGCGGGCAGGTACATATGCCATGTATTAAAAGATGAAAATATTTCAATTCAGTTTTAATTTTACTTAGGTTGACATTCAATGCCAACAAGAGTGTCCATGTCCAAAAAAATGTGATTGTAACAGTGCTCCAGATCTAGTTTGTGGAGTAAATGGTCTCACATATCAAAACTCTTGCAATGCTTTATGCAATGAAGTAGAAGTAGCATGTCAGGGGGAATGTCCCTGTAAAACTTGTGAATGTACAGAAATCTCACCACATTGTAAAGGTGACGGAGTCATCCAGCCTATTCTTTGTGAACAAAATTGTGCAGAGGTAACACTTCCAGCTATCTATTATTCAAACATAATCCCAATGGTGGACTACTATCTTTAAAATGGAAAATGTACTTAGGTTAAAGAGGGATGTGAGAAAGAGTGTCCATGCATCAGTACATGTGAGTGCACAGATGTAAATGAACCTGTTTGTGGAGTAAATGGTGTCACTTATCCTAATCATTGTGAGTCTGTTTGTGCACAGGTATATGAGTTATGAGTATTAACAATGAAGTTGATTCCATTGTAGGAAGAAATGTCATAATTACCAGTAATATGCTTAGGTAGAAGTTCAATGTCAACAAGAATGTCCATGTCCAGAGAAATGTATGTGCACAAGAATCTTTGACCCAGTTTGTGGAGCTGATGGTTTAACTTACTCAAATAAATGTGAGCTTGATTGTGCTAAGGTACCTTAATTTTCTTTTGAACTTTAATACATGTGTATTTGTTGCTTGCCAGTCTCTCTGTGTATAGGCGATTTTTGATAAAATGGTGAAACAGGCTGTGCCCAAATTTCTTGTTGCAACTTACATAACCCCAGGGAATGGTGTTTGATTGTTTTAGACAAAAACATTTAAACAAAAAATTGTTGACTTTTATCATTTTTAAAAATGATCCAAGTTAAAATTGAAAAATATGTGAACATGATTTACTAAGAAAAATGGCAACTTAAAGAGTACTAATTAACAGCTAAAATTATTACTAGAAAAGGGGCATGAAGCATTAAACAAGTCTAGTCTAATTATTTTTTGAAAATCTCCATGGTGGAATCTAGATTCAATTAATGAAGTTTGTTTTCCAGTTAGTAGAGATGTCAACGTTTTGATTTTTCAAGATTTTAGCTTTCGTTACGATAGTGTTCATCAAAAGTATAAACGTTTGAAACGTTACGTTGCATATTATGAAATTTTATGGCATAGAGTAATGTTACGTTATGAATTTTCAGCACTTGAATACCTTATACAACGTTAAGCTTTAGTAAATGTTAGTGAAAAAACAGTAAGCTCCGTTATGCTTTTGCATTTTCCGTTTTAAAAAACTTTCCCAACGTTGCGTTAAAGCTTATGTAATATAACCACATTTTTTTAACGTTCCACTTTCATGCAAGGTAAATATTTTAAGAGACCTTACGTTACACTTTCACTTGGGATATGATCTAAAAGATGACAAACGTTTTGCTTTAATAAAATGTCATTGGGGCATGGTTCTGTGCGTTGCAATGCATTTCAGTGCAAAGAATATTTTTGTTAACGTTACGTTTTATCTTAACTTTTCCAATATAAACTCTTTTAATTACGTTTAGAAATTTTACTAAAATGCACCTTTGCTTACGTTACGATTTATCGAAACGTTATTGTGAAAACATTTTTGTTACACTTTTTTACAACTGACAATCAAAACTGTTTAATCGTTTCGTTTATAAGAAATATTTGAAAAAATGTTTTATACGTTGCGTTGTATTAAAATGTTCAAGCCTTAATGTTTCTTACGTTACACTTCATTAAAAATAATATTGTTTCTAAAGGAAAGCATTGCAAGATTTTTGCCGTGATAATTACATTGATACTTTAGTATTTTTCATCCTAAAACATGAACCATGGAAAAAAATGTTTACTCACCCTGTATGTAGCTGTTGTATTGTTAACCTTTGTATTGTTAATGTGTAGAAGAATATGTATTATGCAATATAAAGATGTTATAAAATTATTATTTTTAACGATTTTTAACTTTTGTGAATGAAAGTTTTTAGCAATAGACTTGTGTGTCTTAAAGGGACTAGAGACGTAATTTCAAGTGACCTTCCATTTATGGAGTGGCATGTCCAGCATACATTTACAAGATAGGAAAACGCTGCTATTTTTATATCATCAATCAGATAAAGGAATACACGTTACCATTGGGAATCGAGCATGGCCCTCTTTAAATGGAGGATGAAATATCATCGTGTATTCGACGTACTTAACAAATAGACATGTTTTGGGACACTTCATAAAATGAGTTAAAATTCGGCAAGGCAAACCACTTTTGCATGTGGATCAGTAGTTCTAAATTATTTTAGATTAGTTTAGGATTATTTTTTTCTTTTTTTACTCAATGCAAATTGACCCTTTTCTTCTATCAAACAGAATTCATATCTAAGGTCTACAACATTAGGTAGCAACGATATAGGGATTAGAAATATAAGTTTGTGAACAACTCAATTCCTGTAGACATTCTTATCTAACTGAAGTCATAGCTTGAAATATCAAAAGTATACAACACCAGCTTGCAAAGATGTAGAGATAAGAAAATTATAATATGTGGCGAATTTTTAGTTCTTTTTTTGTTTTGTTTTTATGTTACTTACAAAGTGAGTAAAAAAGTGGCATTAGTTTTAGTTTACAAACCATAATAAAAATGTTTTCAGAGTTCATGTTTGGGGTTAAAAAATATAAAATGTAGTAAGACAAGTGCTAAATTTTTTTTTTACACCTACAACGCGAAATAGAAGTATTAAACATTTTTTCTTTCTTGTTTTTAAAAAACGATTAAAAAATCAGTTTTTTATTCTATTCTAAAGTTTCATAAAACTCTACTGATGAATAAAACATAACACGCATTTTCCAATTGATAAAATATTTTTGCATTTCAGTATATACATTTCTAAATTTTTCAACCTAAAACATGAACCATGCCAACTGAAGTTATGATTTCAAGTAGTCAAATAAACATGAAATCCAGCAATTGTGTCTTTTCACAGACCCGTTCCACTTAATAAGTTGAGTTTTTTGCTAATAGTAAATCATTTGCTTTATAACAGAAAATGCATATGTAAAATTTCTTAATGTCGTCTTCCTTTTCCAGAGTTTTAGTGGGTTTCATCAAACAATGGCAAATCAAAAACCTTTAATGTTCAAGAAACATTTATAAGATTTGAATTTTCACTAATAGCATGTTACAAAAAAACTCGTTTATACACTTTGGAAAGGAACTTTTTTTTCAAATTTACTAATCCCTATATCTTTCCAACCCGATGGTTTAAACCTTGTATATTTCAATATTAATGGTCTACGACATCGGATTGAAAAGATATAGTAAATGAAAATTAGAGTTTGTGGCATAAACTCATTTCCTTTAAACTTGAAATGAAAAACCATTAGTCTTTGCTGTCATAATCATCAGTCGAATGGCAGAATTATTGTTTCACTTTTGAAGTTAAAACTCAGTCCTCATAGTCTATCGTTTTATTAACAACATTTTCATCCGAAATATATCTAACGTTAGACTAATCAATTTAGTATTTAGGGAAAGGTTATGGAACGTTTAGATTTACAGAATTACATTTTTTAAATGTTTTATGTTACATTAATAAAATTTTACTCTGTAGAAAAAAATTTTGTTTCCTGATTATTAAAATAATAACCCATTTCTGAAACGTTAAATTTTTCATTATACTGTAAGGGAAAACGTTTAAAAACGTTTTCATTAACAGTAATGCATTTTTTAGTTATACAACGTTACACTTTTTATAAGTTGAACTTTGAAATAGAAATCCTTTCGTTACAATATTTAATCAAATTAAAATTAATTTTTCAAACGTTAGACTTTCAAGCTCCCCATGGAAACAAAACATTTCTTCACGTTATGGTCAAAAAAGTTGTAGATATTAGAAAAATAATGTTACATTACCACAAAACGCTAACGTTGGGGGTATGTTCCTCTAACGTTAACGTTTAACGTCAACGTTAGGTATGAGCTCCTCTAACGTTAACGTTTAACATTCACGTTATATAGAATATATCCAAACGATACACATTATTGTAACATAACGTACAAAAACGTACATTTTACGTTACGTTACACTATCGTTGACATCTCTACCAATTAGGTCCCACTGGAATGTGAAGAAGAATGTCCATGCCCAAATGGTTGTATTTGTACTGAAGAGTTCAATCCAATTTGTGGTGTAGATAGAAGAAACTATGACAACCCTTGTAAAGCACAATGTCACAATATAGAAGAAGCCTGTAAGGGAGAATGTCCTTGCAAGAATAACTGTTCATGTCCAGATTTATATCTCCCATGTTGTGGTCTAGATGGCGTGACATATAAAAATTTATGTGAGATTGAGTGTGCTCAGGTATCCTAAACAATTCTTCCAATTTGACATATTTGGGTTTAATTTTTGAGTTAAAAATATTCTGGTTAAAAAATTTATTTTTTTAGGTGGAATTAGAATGTGAGGGAGAGTGTCCTTGCAACACAGTTCTATGTACCTGTGGAAATGATTGGAACCCTGTTTGCGGTATTGATGGGGTTACTTATGAGAATCCTTGTGAAGCAAAATGCAAAAATGTATCGGAAGAATGTGCTGGGGAATGTCCCTGCTGTGATTGCCCTGGAAACTATGATCCAGTTTGTGGGGTCAATGGAGATACTTTTAGAAATAAATGTGAAGCTGACTGCTCCCAGGTAAACTTTACAAATTTGCAATAATTCAGAACAATAGAAAATAACCTAAATAATCAGAGCTAAAAAATCTTGAATTAGATACCCTTTATCCTTAATGCTATATATTGATATCCACTATGGACACTTTTGATTGTCTGCTTAATCCTCTCTTTTGGAAATCCCTGTACAAGCACAACCATTGAGAGTTCTACCATTCAAGCATTAATCTTGGTATCTGAAATGTCAAGCTCTGAATATTTGGTTTTTTCTTACTTCAAACCATACTTTTTTACAATGATATCACAATTCTAGGTTGAAATACAATGTAATGGAGAATGTCCTTGCCAACTGTCCTGTAACTGCACTAATGAATGGAACCCTGTCTGTGGAAAGGATGGATATACCTATGAAAACTCTTGCGAAGCTGCATGTTACAATGCAGAGGAAGCCTGTAAGGGTGAGTGTCCATGCAATAAATGTTCATGTCCAGATATCTATACACCATGTTGTGGTCGCGATGGTGTAACTTATTCCAACATCTGTGAACTTGATTGCGCCCAGGTATGTAAACTATGAATTTTCATTGAAATAAATCTTTAATGGATGAAAATAAAGATAAATTTGGAACAAAGTTAATGTTAATTATAGTACCATAAGTCATAATCAGGTTTATTATTTTGGTCATTAATAAGATTTTTCATATTTTTCATATTTTCAATGAAGATCTTGTTGTTGAAAATAGAGGTATTACATTCAGGAAATTAAAAAAATGTCCTAGGTTGAAATGCAATGTGAAGAAGAATGCCCTTGCCCTGCTGAAGAGTGTTATTGCAATGAAGATCCACTGATTGTTGTTGATTATATTTACGACCCAGTTTGTGGCTTAGATGGTCAAACTTATGGACATCTCTGTTTAGCTAAATGTCAAAACATGGAAGTTACTTGTAAAGGGGAATGTCCCTGTGAAGGAGATAAATGTATTTGCACTCCTGAACACAAGTGGATCCCAACCGCAGAGAATGAATTCTCTGATCCAGTATGTGGGATGGATGGGGTGACTTATGTACATCAATGTGCAGCTAAATGTAAACATATAGGAGAGAGTTGCAAAGGAGAATGCCCCTGTGAAACAGTGTCTTGTGAGTGTTCCCAAGAATGGAACCCAGTATGTGGAGTAGATGGTATGACATATGGAAACTCTTGCGAAGCCAAGTGTAAGGGAATTCCACAGCGATGTATTGGAGAATGTCCATGTAAGACACCATGCATTTGTCCTGCAGTACATGACCCTATCTGTGGAGGAGATGGAGTTACATATGGAAATCCTTGTAATGCGAGATGTAATAATGTAAGTGAGGCATGTAGAGGAGAGTGTCCTTGTAAACCACCATGCATCTGTACAGCAGAATATGCTCCTGTATGTGGTGTAAATGGTAAGACCTATGATAATGGATGCAGTGCAAAATGTGAGAAAGTAGAGGAAAAGTGCAAAGGGGAATGTCCATGCAAACCACCTTGTATTTGCACAGAAGAGTACTTCCCTGTATGTGGTGAAGATGGAAAAACATATGATAACCGTTGCACTGCAAATTGCGAACATGTAATAATTGCATGCAATGGAGAATGCCCTTGTAAACCTCCATGCATATGTACAGAAGAATATGATCCTGTTTGTGGTGTAAATGGTAAGACCTATGATAATGCATGCATTGCTAAATGTGAGGATGTAGAGGAAAAATGCAAAGGGGAATGTCCATGCAAACCCCCTTGTATATGTTCAGAGGAGTACTACCCTGTATGTGGTGAAGATGGAAAGACCTATGATAATCTCTGTCGTGCAAGATGTGAAGATGTGAATTTCAAATGTGATGGTAAATGTCCCTGCAAACCACCTTGTAACTGTACCAAAATATATGCTCCAGTATGTGGGGTTGATGGGAAGACATACCAAAATAGATGCACTGCAAAATGTGATAATGTAGAGGAACAATGTGAAGGAGGATGTCCATGCAAACCCCCTTGTATCTGCACAGAAGAATATGCTCCTGTATGTGGGGTTGATGGGAAGACATACCCAAATGCATGCAGAGCAAAATGTGAAGAAGTGAAGGAAGAATGTGAAGGGGAATGTCCATGCAAACCACCTTGTAGCTGTACAAAAATATATGCTCCAGTATGTGGGGTTGATGGGAAAACATACCAAAATGGATGTATTGGAAAATGTGAGAATGTAATGAAAGAATGTGAAGGAGAATGTCCATGCAAAACCCCTTGTATCTGCAGAGACAAATATGCTCCTGTATGTGGGGTTGATGGAAAGACATACCGAAATGCATGCACAGCAAAATGTGAAGAAGTGGAGGTAGAATGTGAAGGAGAATGTCCATGCAAACCCCCATGTATATGCACAGACGAATATGCTCCTGTCTGTGGTGTTAATGGAAAAACCTTTTCAAATCCATGCTTTGCTAAATGTGAAAATGTAGATGAAGAATGTAAAGGGGAATGCCCATGCAAAACACCTTGTAAATGTATGTCAGTATATAGCCCAATTTGTGGGGTTGATGGAAAGACATATGATAATTCTTGTCTTGCAAGATGTAAAAATGTGGAAAGACAATGTAAAGGTAAATGTCCTTGTCCAATTTTAGAATGTATTTGTACACTTGAGTATGACCCTATTTGTGGTATTAATGGGATGACATATGGTAACCCATGTCAGGCTGCATGTGCAAAGGTTGGAGAGGACTGCAAAGGAGAATGTCCATGCAAGCGAAAATGTGTTTGCTCCAATGAATGGAACCCTATTTGCGGAGTGGATAGAATTACTTATAAAAACTCTTGTGAAGCAAAATGTAAAAACATTGAAGAAGAATGCAAAGGTGAATGTCCTTGCAAAAAATGTGCTTGTGAAGAATTATTTAACCCAGTTTGTGGAGTTGATGGCTTTACCTATCCAAATATCTGTGAGATAAATTGTGCAAAGGTAAGTCTTGCTTTACATAACTTAATTTAATGAACATGATTATTAAACTCTGTGACTTTATATCTAATTATCTGATCAGGTTGGCCTTAAATGTGAGGGGACATGCCCATGCAAGGTTGATTCTTGTATTTGCCCTAATGAAAGGAATCCTGTTTGCGGAGTTGATGGAGTTACTTACCCTAATCTCTGTCAAGCAAATTGTAATAATGTAGCAGAAGAATGTAAGGGGGCTTGTCCTTGTGAAAATCAATGTATTTGCACCTTTGAGTATGATCCTGTATGTGGAGTAGATAAAATAACATATTCCAATCCGTGCAATGCAAACTGTAGTAATACCTTATTAGCATGCAAAGGGGAATGTCCTTGTAAACAAGAACCATGTATTTGCACTCTTGAGTATGACCCTGTTTGTGGTTCTGATGGGAACACCTATGGAAATCTGTGTCAAGCAAGATGTAGTCACACAGACCAAGCATGCAAAGGAGAATGTCCATGCCAAAATGGATTTTGTGAATGCCCTCCCTGTAAAATTCCAGTATGTGGTACTGATGGAGTAACATACTACAATCTCTGTTTTGCTCAATGCAACCACACAGAAGAAGCTTGCACTGGAGAATGCCCATGCAAACCTAAATTTTGTATTTGCAATAATGAGTCCAACCCTGTTTGTGGAATAGATGGAGCTACTTATGACAATTCTTGTCAGGCTGAATGTCACAACATTTTAGTCGCCTGTGAAGGGAATTGCCCTTGTAAAAGTCAATGTTCATGCCCAAAGGAGTACCAACCTGTTTGCAGTGTTGATGGGACAACCTATGCTAGTAAGTGTAATGCAAATTGTGCATCTGTTGTAGTCCAGTGTGAAGGAGAATGTCCCTGTCAGCCTGATCCTTGTATATCTACCTTTGAGTATGCTCCTGTTTGTGGCAATGATGGAATAACATACACAAACCCAAGTCAAGCTAAATGCAACAATACTGAAGCTGCATGTGAGGGTCATTGCCCTTGTTGCAATTGCCCCTTGGAGTTAATCTATGCACCTGTTTGTGGGGTGGACGGTGTGACCTACAGAAGTGAATGTGAAGCAAAGTGCAGAAATGTTCCCAAAAGATGCAAAGGGGAATGCCCTTGCAACTGTAACTGCTCGGATCATTATACTCCTGTTTGTGGGAAAAATGGATTGACTTATGACAATTACTGTACAGCTAAATGTAAAAGAAGTCCAGTTTTGTGTAAGGGGAAATGTCCTTGTCCTTGAGATGGGTTCTATGTATTTCTTTTTTATAGGGCATTCTGTCACTCAAATACTAGATTTTGGCATGTTGCCCATGAAAAAAAATGTAATATTAAAAAAAAAAAATTTGAAAAAAATAAATAAAAAAATACAAAAATTTAGTGTATGTCACCCTCAGACTACCCATAAGAATCCACAAAAAAAATTTCAGCCCATTCAGTCCAGCCCTTTGGGCTTGGCCAGCCAGAGGGAACATATATATTAATGTCTTGTTTTATTATCATATCAAATCAAATCAAATACATATTTTTGTCCCAAGCTTACATTACATATGGAATAAAATATTTATAAAGCATATTTATGAAAACTTGAGACGGGGAGGCATTGATAGCCAGGGGCTGTTTATCATGCTGCTCATGGGATGGAGGGAGCTTGAGCTACTGGAGAGGATACAGTTCATACACGTACAGGAAACTTTCAAGGAGAGGTCGGGTATAGGGTTTCCATCGGAATTCCGGGTTACAGTTAAAATACGGAAATGATCTGAAAATTTTTTCCATTTCCAGTATGGAAAAGGTTCTGGAAATACGGAATTCTGGAACAATTTTTTTATGTAAATCGGAAATTTCCGGGACGTTTTTCTGGAATTACGGAACTTTATGGAATAGTGTTCCGGAAAATTCCAGTTTACGGAATAGTGTTCCGAAAAATTCAGGTTTAAAGAACAATTGTTCTGGAATTTTCTGGAAAACGTTGAAGACATCTTAAAATTATGTAAAAGATAAATCAAGTAAGTAATACTGTCTACAGAATAATAGAATGTGCGCCTGGTGTAGCTGTATTTAAAGTAAGACTACTGTGAATTATCATGAAATAACATAAATCCTGACTGCCATGTCTCAAAATAATTTCCTCTACAGAAAACTGTGGAGATGCAGACGACATGTATAGCAATCCTTGAGTCTAATTGATGTTGTTATAAAGCAAATAGGTTAAATAGTAACTTATAAAATCACTTTTAAATTGGTCTGTATACAGTATCGTATATACTACATAATTGCCCTGTCTCATGTTCATTGAACTATTTAGAGTCATAATTTAAGTCTAAAAGTCGTCCTCCTATTCCAGAGTTTTCTGGTTCTCACTCTATATATATACTTTGCTTGTCTGTTTGTTTGTCTTTTTGTATCCAATAAACGTCCAACAGCTGAACCGACCGAGCCCAACATTTGTGAGGCAACTCCCATGGCCCAAGTTAAAAATTTATGCGGGAAAAAACGTTGCAGTTTATTATTTTTTAATTCACCAGTTTAAAGCCTAGTTTTTATAAACTGTTATTTATATAGTTTATTTCCTCCCATCCTGAGGGGGAGGGGGGGCATAAGCCTATCCGATGACCCTCTCGAAAAATAAAAACTGACTTGTCAAAAAATATTGTGGGGAAAGTGAAAACTGTAACTGTAAAATAGTCATGATGAACTATAGTGAAATATTTGTGTATATATAATTGTAGAACTAAATGTGTATTTAATGTATTGTAACCATCCCCAACCTCCCTCCCTGCTGAGGATGAGTATAGAGCATGGAAAATTCTTCAGGACAAATCAACCCAAACCTGGCCCCCCTCCCCCAGCTCCAGCTGCCTTATCTAGTGTTGCCCCCTACAGGGGTTGACCAGCCAGCTAGCCCCAGGATTAAGAATTGGCAGGATCTGGGTTCAGAACACAGAGAGGGAAAGAAAAAGAAGCCAGTTGTGCGCCAGCTCTCACAAGGAGAGGATGCTGACATTCGACAACTCCCCACAGTGGTAAGAAGCAGTTAGTCCAAAGGAATAGAAACTGCTTGGACGGATTGGAGCTGTGGGAAAACAACATGCTGAAGGAGACCAAAACAAAGATGGTGCCAGAAGAGATATTCTGCCTGAGGGGATATGTTGCCTGAGGAGATATGTTGCCTGAGGAGATACCATGTTGAAGGTATCTAGCCAAGGAGTATCTAGCCAAGGAGTATCTAGCCAAGGAGTATCCAGCCAAGGAGTATCCGGCCATAGGAGTAACCCATCACTGAGTGCCAAATCTGTGTCTCTTGACTTTAGTTATTTATCACTCCATTTTGTTTCTTTTTAATATAGATGTTCAACTACTTTGTTCTATTATTGGTGTGTGCCTTGAAGACTACTAGAGTATTGTTACCCGCCTTTGGGGGTATCCTTTCAAATATAACAGTATTTCTATTTTAACATTGCTTTCTATGTCTAACATTGTGTTAAAATTTCCTGTTTACGAAATGGAAACTGGAAATTTTAAGGTTTATGGCACGTAAACCGGAATTATCCTGGAATTTTGGTTTACGCAACAAATTTCCTGATTATTCCATTTCCAAAATGGAAATTTTTTTCCCAAAAAAGGAAACACTAGTGGGGTACCTTCTTTCTCAGGGTGGAACACATAAAAATAAATGTGAGTTAAAGGGAGGAGCAAGAATTACAAAATAGTTTTTCACATTGAAAATCTTTGAGATTATCAAGAAGTTTGGCTTTAACGATTTTTTAAAAATGGATTTTGAGCTATTTCTTTAAATTCAGATGAAAGAAAATTCCAAGCAGTGGGAAATGAGCAAAAAGGAAATCGTCTAAGAAATTCTGCTCTTACTCACGGCACATAAAAGTCATATAAATTTCTCATAAAATAAAGGTTTCCATAAACTGTAGCATTTCTTACAAATAATTCATCAAAAAAACTAGGCGATAGAGAATGATTGAACAAATGCTTAAATTGAAGTGTTTGCTGTAAGATCAGCTCAGGTAAAGGTGGAATACCTGTGCTATAAAATAAAAGCTGTGTATGAGCATTATATTTAGACTTGGTTATCAATCTAATAGCTAATTTTTGTTTCTTAAATAAAAGATTTACATTTTTCTGGCTAGTATATAGATGTTATGTAGAAGATTAAGACTTCATTACACTTCCATTTAACATAAAGACTATACATTTTACCTCACAACAAAGATACATTTATATTTTGTGAAATTATTCTGTCTATCTTTCTTCAACTTCTTGTATTTTCATTTCTATTCATTTTCTTTAAATCTGACTAAAAATGTAATTTAAGTGACCCATGGTTGATAGAGTAGCTTGCTTGATTTTCAAACGTACTCTTGAAAGCTTTTTGTAATTAGATGTTCCTGTTCATGTTTGTGTGTTTAAAAACTGATTAGTTTTATTTGAGGTTTTTAATTGAATGTGCCCTGTGGAATTAATTCTTAAGAAATTATTAAAATAACACTTTTTGAGCTTAAAAAACCTTTTATATTCTTCAAGTTTCTTTTTGTAGAAATTTCATACGTTTTAACATAAATGCTGTTGGATGCACTGAAAATATATTTTTAACTAATATAAATGTATGTATATTGTATACATATTTAAAGGCATATATTCTAATGATTTAACAAAAGTTTCGTTCTTCACATTTATATTTTGACAAGAAAGTCATTTAATAAAGCTTTTTAAAATCTAAATAAAAAATTGCAGCAAACGAAATCTTTTGAGAAAAAATGCGAAAATTTTGGTTTGTATTTTGCAAACTTTTTACAAAATTTTGCATTATTTCGCGAAAATGAAAGAAGCAAAAATGCAAAAATGAAGCAAAATTTTGTGAAAAAAATCCATAGGAGTAGAAGCTGTATTTAGACTTTTTTTTATTAATTTTCGCAAAAAAGCTGCTTTTTTAATCCAAATTCTTTTGCAAAATTTTTGCATTTCTTATTTCGTGAAAATTTTTCATTTTTTCCTGAAACAGTTTGAAACAAAATTTTGCGAAAAAGAGAAAAATTTTGCATTTTTCGCAAGTGAAATGATTTTTCCTTTTCGCTGCAATCCCTATCTGTAATACATTAGTCATTTAGTGGATTTGGATGGATTTGATTTAGCAAGAACTTAAATTTACAATACTTTTTCTTATTGATGTATACTAGATAGTTTAGGTATGCATTTGTTTGTTTAACTAATAAATATTGCGTCTGTAATGATAAGAAGTCAATAAAAAGACAAACAACAGAAAACACAATTCAGTCAACAGAAACAAAATGAAGTATTTTCGATTAACCTTGTACTCCACACTTATTGTGGTAGCATTAGGTGGATGGTGTGACAATAAGCAAACTGCTGGACAAGACCTTGTGTCTGCTTATAATAGGTCTTCTGTAACAACAATAAGAATCAGCAAAACATTAGATTTTTATAATTATTATTTTAAAAGTAAAAGTAAAAACAATTAAGGCAACAGTTCTGGTTCTAATCTGCCAACTAGATATGTTTCAACTGAATTGAATATTTCCTGAATCTAAAAGTTAATGACTTAAAGAATTTGTTTTTTATTAATTATTACAAGAGAAACAGTTTCCAATTTGCTTACTTTAGGTTTCCATCAAGCAGAATAGTAAATCATCCAGAGATAAGAAACAATCTGCCTACGGTAGGCTACCTTTTATAAATGTGCCTAGAATTTTGAAAAACTTTGGCTGACTTATTTTTTTGCTATATAATATACTTACTAATCATTGGTATTATTCTTACCCAAGGATGAGATAATAAGATCTGAAGGATACCCCGCAGAAACTCACTATGCAACTACTCCTGACGGCTATATTTTAGCACTCCACAGAATACCCTATGGCAAAACAAACTCGTAAGATACCCATTAAACTTTTATTATAAGATTAATTTATCCTTGGCCAAAATTAAAGTGGTCTTAACATGCTTTGGTGCCAACAGAATGTGCATTTATAAAGTGTAAAAACAAACTTTTCAGAGATCCAGCAAATAGGGAAGTTGTTTTTGTCCAACATGGTCTTCTTTGTTCCTCTGCTGATTGGATAATGTCTACTCCTTCTAAAGGATTAGGTATCAAACAAGTTAGTTCATAAAAAGTATAGACCTTTAATCAAACAAACTAGGGTATATGCTTGCGGAGGCTGGTTATGATGTTTGGCTTGGTAATTACAGAGGAAACACTTACAGTAGAAACCATACTTTTTTCAACCCAAATGAGGGTTCAGGTAACAACACTAGAACTTACAACAAGATTAATTACAAACTGTGTAAATTTTTTTATTGCATCTAAGGTGGATTTTGGGACTTTACTTGGGACGAGATGGCAAAATTTGATATTCCTACCCAAATAGAAAAGGTAAACATAAATCTTTTTTGTTTAAATATAATTGGTATTGCCTTTATATAATCTTATCGTTCGAAAGTGCTCAACAAAAAATTGGACTTTAATCCTAGGTCCTTGAAATTACTGGAAAAGATGAACTTCAATACATCGGTCATTCAATGGGAACAACTGCTTTCATGGCTATGCATCACTATAAACAAGATGTTGCATCTAAGTAAATACATATTTTAAAAATAAATTGTTGGTCCTGAAGCACCAAAGTTTGTTTTCAATGTTTGATCTTACTTGATCTTTATCAGAATTCGCTTGGCTCATCTGTTATCTCCTGTAGCCTATGTAGGTAATATGGAGAGTCCTATTGGATGGATTGCTGGATTAGGACCTCTTCTAGATGTAAGCTCTTTTTATCAATTTATCAATCTTAACTATCTTCTAAACTTCATATTGTTTAGGCAATTCTAGGCTTCCTGGGCATTGGTGAATTTCTGCCTGGAAATGTATTGATGGATTGTTTGGCAACTTTATTCTGTCATGAGGGCTTAACTCAAGTAGATCAAATATTTTTATTTTTTTAACTTGGAATTAAAGGGAATGTAATGTAAGAGTATTTTTAAGCAACTCTCCATAAAAAGATGGCAATGCCTGATTTACAAAGGTACCTTCAAAGCCTTGTCTAATCAAGGGAACTTGAAATTATGCTTACTGTCCCTTCAAATCTTAAAAAAAAACATTTTTTATTTTGCAGGGAATTTGCACAAACATTCTATTTATTTTGTGTGGATTTGATGAACCTCAGATGAACACTACACTTTTGGAAACTATTATGAAACATACTCCTGCTGGAGCTTCTACCCCAACTGTTCTACATTATGCTCAAGAAGTTACTTCTGGTAGGCAATTGTTTGACATAATCTTTTGGCACAAAAAATATTTTTTCAAATGGGAAATAAAGTTTGTGTCCACTTTGATGTTTTTTATCACTTGAAAAACACGTTTTCACAACTTACATTTTTATTCCAAAAAATTGTATGCCATCTGAATTCTAATATTGGTTCATTTGTCAACAAACATTATGCTTAGATGAATTTCATGGATACGATTGGGGGTCAGACAGAGAGAATTTTAATCATCACGGGGCTAATGGAATACCCAATTACAGGTGTCAGTGTTTGATCTGTTTCTTATCTAAAAGATAAATAATCACATTAATAATACATCCTTATATAAAAATTATATTAGGGTTTTATTATCATATTGTTCATACTAAGCCAATAAACAAGATAACAATGTGTACAAAGCTATCAAAGAATATCCAATTTTTCTAATGATCTTTAAACAAAATAAGAAACCATAAAGTTAAAAATTCTATTTGCTTTTTATTTGTGTAATATTTTTTTGTAAACTTTCTAATTAACATGTATTGTTCAGTCTTACAGATGTTACAACTCCTGTTGCAGTTTACTTTGGTCAAAATGATTGGTTAGCTTCTTCTACTGTAAGTTTAAAATGATATATGTTTTGTTTGAAGAAAAATTTAAGTGGGGTTAATTTGGAAAGTAATTTTACAATAAAAACATGAACAAATTACAAATTAATCTATGCAACTGATTTCTTTAGAGCACTTTTAAGCTAGTATTCACAATTTCTTTCCTGAAAAATGAATTAATGAAGTCGGGGATATTGACCTCAGAAATTAGAAAAATGTTTCACTGTCTTTTTGTCAAAATTGAAAAACTCAATTGAAACAATCTTTCAGGATGTTTTGAGAACCATCTCTGAGCTTCCGAACATAGTCGGTGGAATGCAGCACATGGTCAAATTTCCCACATGGAACCATCTTGACTTCCTGTGGGGCATAGATGCTGACACGTATGTGCTTATAAGAAAGAGAGTCTCATATAGGGCTGGGCACATTCAGACCTTTTTCAAGTTGTTTGTTAACCTCCACTTAAAATCATGTTAAAAAACGTTTCTGGTAGCTGTTTGTTCTTTTGCTAAGAACTGAACATTTATCAACAAACTCAAATCATCCGAAACCTTAATTATAAATAAGGTTTTTACTTGGCCGAGACAGTAATTTACATAAAGTTGTTTGAGGATACAACTTTAATCCTAATTTTTCTAAAAATGATTTTCGTATTGCAAACTTAGGCATGTTGTATAATGAATTGTTTCAAAGACAAACTTCAGGTAGGAAGAAGTAGACAATTTTAATATTTATTATTATGGATAACCTTATTTATATATATTTTTTTTCTGTATCAGAAATCTTTAAGAGAGACCACAGTTAAAAAAGGGCATTTAGTTTGAAAAATAAAGATTTTTCATTCATTTATCAGACAAAGATTTACTTGATACTAATGTGAATCTAACATGTTATTTCATAATTGAAGGTTCTTTTGATTTATATATTTAGGGAAGTTTATGCTGACGTGTTAGCAAACATGAAAACCTGCTGGGAAACTGATTGTCGAGTCTAACATCACAATATCTTTTAACATATATTTTAAAAAATTGGTTGGTAACTGTATAAACTAGAATTATAATATATCAAATAAATTATTAAATACTTTAAGTTCTGATGATTCTGTAAACATTTATTCCAGAAAAAAATTAGCTTTGACTTCATGAACTGAAATTTTAGATTATTTAATGAATTTTTGGATATTTATAAATAATCTCACTAGATTAGAGTAGTTTTGTAAAGTTTCGTTTATATTTATAATGATTAGGGTGGTCAAGTCTGAAAAAGCTATTTACTGTTTAAAAATTGCTTTAATCAGAGATAATGATACATGAAAGCTAGTTTATCAGATCATTTATTTCCTATTCAGGGTGTCTTACAAAACATGACAGTTGAGAGACAACTTTAACGTTGCCTTGCATTCATAAAACTTGGTCTGCCATTTTTGTGTTCTCATCATTTCAGAGATATTAAGAATTGTGTTCAGATTTTTTTAAGTAAATCAACCAAATTTGACAAAATTTGAATCAAATTCTTCATATCTTTGACAATATTGTAGGCTACTGTAATGTTTCTTGGGACACCCTGTTCAGTGTACAACATATTCAAATCTAAAAATTTTATCTTCACAAATATTAATAACTAAAGTACTAGCTTAACAGTATCAAGAAAACTTTCAACCATAATTTATAACAGAATTGTTTTTTAAGTTTAAACATTGTTTGTGTACAAAAAATCTAAAAAACAATAAATCTTTAAACATATTTTGCTTAAAAAGTGCAGTTAATTTTTCTAAATAATTCAGCTTTGACAAATGCAGTCAATGTCCAATTTTATGAATAACATCATCTGCAATGAGATCTCTGCTAGATAAGTTAGCTTGTGGATTGTAGATATTGTTGTAGCACTAAAAAAATTATTTTGTAAATGGTAATTAAAATAATTTTCTAAAAATTGTTATTGTACAGTCATAATCTGGCAATTTTAAATACTCAGAAATGGCGGACCACATTTTGAAAATGGCAGGAATAGGGCTAATTCATGATTATCGTTTCATAAATAATATTTGTAAAATTAGATTGTAAAGTTGTCTGATTAATTGTAAATAAATTCCTGGTCTTTCTGATTAGCACTGTATATCTTAAAAATATTTTTTTCTGACTAAACTATAAAGTAAAAATGCATCTAAAAATGTGATCAGAATTTTCATTCAATATTTTTTTACCTTATTGATATAGCACCAACGGGCATATTCAGTCAGAGTGTAGGAAATCTAATAATATATTGAATTTAACAAATGTTTAGTTTAATTTTATGAATAATTAATGAGGCTTATATGTAATACACAACATTCTCTTGAATATTTTCACCTTGTTTTGCTAATAATTGCATTTTCCATACTGTACATTATTCTTAGATTTGGCATATTTTTCTGTTTTTATTGGTGTATTTTCAAAAGTCACAGATTTTACATATTATTAATGGCAAAAGGTATGTTATTCTGATGGGACCATAAACATTTTCCTGAGTCATGTGAGATTAAAAAATGTGGAGACTGAATCGTCTAGTTCTTTTAAAAATGTATTGGCTTCAAACAATTACAAACTTAGACACTAAACATATGTATATTGTTAAAAATACAACAATCCATTTTATACATGATTATAATTACATTGTATCTGTACATGAGGCAGTTATCTAGATGTTTGTCTGTGTGTGTCAGATAATGTCTTTTGAACCCCTTGACTGATTTTGCCAAAAAATTTAGACTTTAACATAAATTAGTTTCCAGGCAAAGCTGGGTTCCCATTTCAAACAAGTAGGACAAGATAAGGCATCAGCTAACATATTCTCTGCAGCAGGGAGATGAATAATATCACAGTTGAATTCTGAGAGGAAAGACAGGCTGCTCTGCTGCATGGCAGACCAGGGCGGAGAAGACCTAAACAAGAGGTCCTGGTCAATGGCGGAGTATCTGGACTTGGTGGAGGTAAGCTTCTTAGAGTAGAAAGCCAGAGGAGCCCAAGAACCTGCAACATCTTGTTGGAGAACAGCTCTGATGTGGGAACCAGAGGCATCCACAGAGAGAGAAACCTTGGCTGAAGTATCTGGGTGCACAAGGGTTGGAACAATGGAGAGGTCAGACTTGGCTACAGAGAAAGCCAGGTTCATTTTAATGTCCAGGAGAGAGTTAAAACCTCCCCTTTCAATACTTTAGTCAGCAGAGCAAGACTCCCTGCAGCACCCTTAATGAATCTCCTGTAGAAGTTGAGGATTCAAAGAAATCTTTGTAGATCCTTCTTGTCCAAAGGGGGAGGGAAAGCCAAAAAAACGTCAGAATGCTTCTGGAGAGGAAAACATCCCTTGCTGGACACTCTCATACAAAGATACTCAACCTATGGTTTAGAAAATTCACAGCAGGGTTGATGCTGAGGCTGTGGAGTCTAGAACTTGGCAGACATGGTGGAGGTGTGACTCTGAGTCAGGACTGGCTATGAGCGCGACATCAACATACACAATACAGTGGGGAATGTCATTAAGATTTTGATAATTCTCTGGAAAGTACAACCAGCATTCCTAAAACCAAACTGCATCCTGATCCAGTCAAAGAAAGAGACCAAAAGGATTAATTACCACTGTCTTTGGAATGTTGCCTTTGGCCATCGAAACTTGATAATAACCCTTGGTGAGATAGATCTAACTTGGTAAACACAGTACAGCCAAGAAATTAAATCAGCCACTTTGGGGCGAAGATCTCTATCTAGAATTGTCATTGTGTTTAACCGGTGATACTTGCCGCAAGATCGCAAGGAACCATCAGGCTTCTGTACCATGTGTAGGGGGCTGGCCCAAGGAGAGTTTGAGTGACAAATTACACCTGCAACTTCCATAGCATCCTTCCTTGCAGACTCAAGCTTCTCATCCTCCAACATTCTAGCTTTAGCAAAAACTGGTGGACCTGGAGTAGTTGGAACAGAATGATGAACTGGATGCTTAGGATGAGAAAAACAGCAGGTGTCGTTTCCACGGTTGAAGCATCCAAAGGGCAGGAACCAGCTACATCCACTAGCAGATAGTGATGAGAGAGAAAATCCTAGGATAGGCATGGAGACATCAGCAAGGAGAAAGGACCACTCATGCCAACAAGGACTGAACAGAGGCTTCAGTGTCCAGAAACTTGTGTGAGGAAAGAGAGTTCTTCAAAATTATTTTGAGGCAGTAGAATTGGCGGGAATGGAGTTTTAAAATCCCTGCCGCTAACTAGATTTCTGAATGGGCACAGTGAGCTTGACACTGGTTAGCGTAATCTCCCCATCAGCAGTGATACAAACAAATTCCAGAAGAAATAGCTCTACTGAGGAATGACTGGCAGACCCGGGAACCTGGGAACGAGGTCCAGATCTTGTGGACGAGTTTCTACACGGCAAGGCATACATGTTCTCAAACTGCTCTGGTAAAACTTGTACAGGGATACTGCCACAAACTAACCACAACTCATCTGCATGAAGAGCCATTCCATGGGGTCACTGATAGACTCATAGTTCAAATGTGCTCAGATATCAGCTAGGAGATGGTCCATAAACTAACCTCTGAAGAAGAATCCTGGCTTCTCGAGGAGGATCAACATTTTGTCCATGAGGAGCAAAAACCAGGTTCAGAAGTCTACAAGCAACATCCTGGGGTAGCGCCACAACACAGTGGGTATCTATAGTGCGGGAGGCTGTTATCCTCTTGACCTCAAACTGAGTCTCTGCTTGGAGAAACCAGACCTCTGGAGAATTGGTCCAAAAGGATGGAAGTTTCACAGAAACCTTTGACAAAGGGACTGCTGCCTGGATCATGTCACTTCATGGCTCTTCTGGTATCTCGTCAATTGCTACTTTTAAATGCTGGAAATAAATTGAAAAAGACTCTCAAAATCGCTAGAACCCTTACTTTGGTACTGCAGGTATGAAAAACACAGGGACCCAGTCAAAACCAATTTTCGTTAGGTCGGTGAGAGAAAATTTATAGAATGGAGGCCTACTTAAAATTATCCTTAGTGCAGTTCATATTTTGGATTTTGTATCTTACCTCAAAGTTTTTACCATTTGGTACAGCCAGGAAATCCTTGTATCAATTAGTTGCATTTCTATGTCAATTATAATCAATTCAAGGGGGGGGGGGAATTATAGCTTTTTTATGATTTAACATTTCATAATTTATATGCAAACTTTTAAAGTCCTTTAAGATTTCTGGATACATTACTATTCCTTGTGATAAATAGCTGGGTTTTGAACTGATTTAATCACCACTCCATTTTCTGTCACTGTATTGAAATATGTCGACAAATCTAGATGTTTGAACCCTAACGCTTTCACTAAATTGAGATAAAAGTAAAAGATTTTAATTTTCAAATATGAATAAAGTATGATAACTTAATAGACATAGGGCACTCCTTTTGTAAAAGCACTATTTTCATAAAACTAAAAATTTTGCGGACTTTTCTGTTTTTTAAATAAAAATCTAATTTTTTCTTGGAACTTTTTTTCAATTTGACCTACCATAAACCTTCCCTGTGCTCATATAAGATACCAAAAAAATGTAGGACTTATTGATTTAACCAGTTTAAGATAAATAGAGTGTCCCACATCAAATTGGATTTCCGAGACTAATAAGAAAATCTAAAAGGAATGAATCATTCAAAAAAATCGTATCTTGATAATATAAAGATTTGCATGCAGAAAATATTAGGTTTTTGGAGTATTTGTGGCGTATTTTGGCGGTATAAGCTTGGAGATAATCTAACAAGATATGGGACACTGTATGTTATAAACAAATAATCAAACACCCAACGAGACGAACACCCAATAAAAATATATGTAGAGAAAAATGTATCTGATCGAGTCTATGAGACACCCATGTCCCATATTCAACAGCAATATGTTCAATACAAAAATAAATTAAGGTATATAATTATAAATTATTTAATTAAAACACACAAACCTAAGTAACCTGTCACCCAGGCATCATCAATCCATAAAAACTTGGTTGTCTGTGCTGCATTTACCAATCTTTAAAGGGAGTGTTCGCGAAAAATGAAAGGGGGTATAGGTTTAATGCGATAAAAAAGCGCTTTTGATCGCTACTAATCTTACTTCTATCTGTTGCGTCTATAAGGAGAAAATTGTTTAAGACGTCTCATACCGAATAACTTAGTGTTTATACAAATTGAGAAAATTGCAACATACGACATGCAACATACATACCGTAAAAAAATCAATGTAATTTTAAACAGATCATTCAGATATTACGACCTATAGTCATCGATTATCTTTCGCCACATTTGTATATAGTTGATTTTTCATAATATGTTTTAATTGTTGTGATCTGAGAGTTACTTATAAAAACATTTATTCCTGTTTCGAGGATTTTTGGTAATGAAGACGACATTTTCATATTTTCCAGGAATATTCGAAAACAAGTTGTAAGCTAAATATTATTTCAAAAAACAAAATCTAAACTAGTATGAAATATCAACTATATACAAATGTGGCGAAAGATAATCGATGACTATAGGTCGTAAGCCTATACCCCCTTTCATTTTACGCGAACACTCCCTTTAAATAAATGGTACAACATTTTAAAAACCTTTATCTTTTTTTAATGCATAATTTGCGTTTAATTAAAGATTTCAGCAGTAAAAGGAGTCTTTTTAGAATAGAGTTTTACATAAATATTCTTACTGGAAAGTTCAGTACGCTGTTCATAATAATAAAATAAATTTTAAAAAAAGGTGTTTCTGGTTAATCATCACCCTTTGCTTACTTACATCTCCTCTTCCTCAAACCTTATTTGCAAAATGTGTGAATTCAAGAAAATCTGAAAATGTCCAAAAATTTTCGAAAATTCTGCAATTTACATAAATATTCTTATTGCAATTTGCTTTCTTTCTTTTAACTTTTTTTTAAGAATGTTGAAATCTTATGATTGGAAGTAGGCGTACGTGAGGGGCATGTAATGGTTGGAAAAGAAAAAATTAAACAAGGGGGTTCCCCCCCCCGTCACAATCACTTGGCAAAAAAATAGTGATTTTTTTCGATATTTTTTATCAAAGTTAGATTTTGCTCACCTTGCTGCAGTCCCAGGATTAACAATGTAAATCCAACCAGTACAATACGCTGGATACCCTTTACCTTTAAACAGTACAATACGCTGGATACCCTTTACCTTTGAACAGTACAATACGCTGGATACCCTTTACCTTTGAATAGTACAATACGCTGGATACCCTTTACCTTTGAAAAGTACAATACGCTGGATACCCTTTACCTTTAAAAAGGATTTATTTTTTATTTTTCAAAAATGAAAAATGTTAAACTTCAAAACTTTAATTATATTTTTTCTATTCAAAATTAACCTCCTTCTTCTTCCGAAATGTCATCGTAACTCAAATACCACTGAAAGTATTTTGGTTATTGTAAGAAACAGAGTTGAGAATTCAGAGCCGATTGTACAGAATTTGATTAGTCAGAATTCTTGCATTCAATGCTTTTTTTGCTTGATAATTAGTAAGCTATTAAAAATACAAAAAGAAAATCAAGCTTTAATTTTTTTAGTTTAGAGTCGTCTTATACAGTCTCATCCTTTGTGGGTAACCCTGTACTAAGACACTTAAATCTATAAGACACACTTTCCCAAAATTGAAACACTCTTACAAAGACTGTGATATTACATCAAGTCACCCTCCATGTAAAGATGGCAGCAATGTGGAAGAAATTTTCGTTTTTCGAGGTTTGAGAGTGTTTATTTTTTATATTATATGTGTTTCTGCAGTAGAAATGCGCAAGTCTTTTTTTAGAGGAATCACAATTGAAAGTAAACAGTGTTCAAAATATGTAAATATTCATATTTGATCAGACACAGGGCCTACAGTGTTTAAAATATGTAAATATTCATATTTGATCAGATACAGGGCCTAAAGTGTTCAAAATATGTAAATATTCATATTTGATCAGACACAGGGCCTACAGTGTTCAAAATATGTAAACATTCATACTTGATCAGACACAGGGCCTACAGTGTTCAAAATATGTAAATATTCATATTTGATCAGACACAGGGCCTGCAGTGTTCAAAATATGTAAACATTCATACTTGATCAGACACAGGGCCTACAGTGTTCAAAATATGTAAACAATTATACTTGATCAGACACAGGGCCTACAGTGTTCAAAATATGTAAACATTCATACTTGATCAGACACAGGGCCTACAGTGTTCAAAATATGTAAATATTCATACTTGATCAGACAAAGGGCCTAGAGTGTTCAAAATATGTAAATATTCATATTTGATCAGACAAGGGGCCTACAGTGTTCAAAATATGTAAATATTCATATTTGATCTGACAAGGGGCCTACAGTGTTCAAAATATGTAAATATTCATATTTGATCAGACAAGGGGCCTACAGTCCTTCTAAAGGAACTCAAAACTCTCCTCAAACTTTAATTTCCTATTCTTTTCTATCGTTGAAATCTTATTTCAGGGTTAAAGTTTAAGGGAAATAATTAGTTCACAATAGCTTGAGAGGTTGAGAAAACGAACCGCGTTAATTTTTTTAACTTTATATCTTTGTAACCTGATGGTGTGAACCTCTGATATTTAAAACTAAGACTTTTTGATTTAACAGAACTTTTAGTTTGAAATATCAAAGTTCTACGACATTAGGTTGCAAAGATATAGGAATTGAGTAAATTCAGTTCCTTACTTAAAAACAAGATTGAATTTTTCTACATTTCAACTTTTTTAAAACTAGATGTCAAGTGGACTCCACAATAATGTATTTAGACAATTTAATTTATAAAGATTTCTTTCGATGATTTCTTCATAAGGGGTTCAAAAGTTGATGTTACGACACGAGTTGAACTGTACTAAACAGAGTTTAACTGTATGTTTTAAACTCGAGTAAAACTCCACTTCTGGTAGGCATATAACTCGAGTCCCTGTCTGCTGGGATTATTTTAACCTGAGCTGAAAACTTTAGAATGGTGAATATCGAGATTAATGATTGATCCTCTCTTTTTCTTAATATAGCGACTAACCTAATTTTGTACTGGTATGCTAAAAAGTGTATAAAATTCAACCAATCAGAGTCGCGTATATGAAGCCGATAAATTTAAAATTCTGCGCGCCATTTAAGATTAATATACAGAAACGGGAGGAGTTCTCTAATTTAAAAAACCGGTTTTTGATTTTTCTCCACTATATCCAAGAAAGAACGGTTTGAGAAGAAAATCAAATTTCATAATTTGAATTGATTTGTAAAAATGTATAAAAGTGTAAAAAAAAAATTAACGAAATACCTAGCTATTTGGATCTCTATGGATTTCCCCTCCCTCCGGGGCACAGGGGCAGAGAATAAATTTGTTCTCCTTGTATTCAGGGCTTTGCAGATATTGCCAACACAATGTAATTGTAAACATTTAATAATAGATATCGTACATTATTAAAATAAAAATGTCAAAATTCTGATTATTTTGAGGAAAGTGGAGATAGAAATTATTTTCTTGAATGATTGGATGTCGTTCATAAATATAAAAATATGAACAAACAATTTTACTGAACAAACTATTATATTCCAGGAACAATTTAACAAAAGGAACGACTATACTGAGCACAATATTTTTCTGAATGATCGTTAATTATAAGAAAACAATCGAATTAGATGGAAAATGAACAAAAATTTTGAGAACGAATAGAATCATTTTTTTAAACGAACAAAATGGACTGGTCACGAACAATGAACAAATAGAATCAAGAAAAAAACGAACAAGCCCATCTCTAATTGAAAAAACCGAACAAGCCAATCTCTAATCGAAAAAACGAACAAGCGCATCTCTAATTGAAAAAAAACGAACAAGCCAATCTCTAATTGAAAAAAACGTAAAAGCCCATCTCTAATTGAAAAAAACGAACAAGCCCATCTAAAATTGAAAAAACGAACAAGCCCATCTAAAATTGAAAAAACGAACAAGCCCATCTCTAATTGAAAAAATGAACAAGCCCAGCTCTAATTGAAAAAAACGAACAAGCGCATCTCTAATTGAAAAAAACGAACAAGTCCATCTCTAATTGAAAAAACGAACAAGTCCATCTCTAATTGAAAAAAACGAACAAGCCAATCTCTAATTGAAAAAACCAAGCCCATCTTTAATTGAAAAATACGAACAATCCCATCTCTAATTGAAAAAAACAAGCCCATCTCTAACTAAAAAAAACAAGCAAGCCCATCTCTAATTGAAAAAAACGAACAAGCCCATCTCTAATTGAAAAAAACAAGCTCATCTATGATTGAAAAATACGAACAAGCCCATCTCTAATTGAAAAAAAACGAACAAGCCCATCTCTAATTGAAAAAAAAACGAAAAAGACAATCTCTAATTGAAAACGGGAATTGAACCTAACTAGATCCGCACTTACAAGATCGAGCAGTGTTTTGCCAATTACTCCTTTTAGAAATAAGCTAGAAAAATACACACCTTAATTCTGAAATGTATATGCCTAGGGCTAAAAAAAAGGAAATTTGAGTTGGTAAGATAAAACTAAAGGCAAATACGTTGCGTTACAATATTTTAAAGTCAAGACTGTCTACTAATTTTACTTCTATCTCTAGTGTCTGTAAGGAGGAAATGGTTAAAAACCCAAAGAAAATGTTTGCCTTAGTAGTTTACACGATCTGGTTACAAAGATATAGGGGTTAGAAAAATAGCGTTTGTGGCAAAGACGCAATTCCTTAAATGCTAATGTGATACCTTATTTCCGTATTTAATAAATGTTTCATGACATGCCTAGTTAAGAAATAGGTGGCATACAGATCAATAAACATATCATCATCTGTTTTCACAACAAAATCAGCTTGCTCACAGAAGTTGGAAACCCAGAGTTTACCAAATACATTCTTGAAGGAGAGATTGCGATATGTGTCCAAAAAGTCTCCTAGCGTCAGAAAAAAAAGCATCTTAGAGCATTAGAAGAATATTCAAATGAGACTTCATTTTATGTACTTTGCTTAATTTTCTAATATTCTTAAATAAATAGAAAAAGTAAGTCAATTATATACTGGTCTGACTAGAAGACCTAGTAGCTCCTCTGATTTTGATTTTAAGCACAATAATTGATAATTTATCTAGTTCCTTAGCTCTTCAATAGAAGAAGTTCTAATTGAAAACATAATTTTTCAATCGAACCTGTAATACACTTTAGTGTAACGTAATATATTGATGAATAATAATATTATAAATGGCCCCTATACCTTGCACAATGTCTCGGTATTGCAAAGCTTCATTAAATACAAATTTATGCTGGGTTATATTGGTCACCATTCCCAGTAAAAATACCAGCCTGAGTATGAATAATAAATTAATTTAACTATCCATAATTTAATGGATTTTAAGTATTTTTAATTTGCTTCATAATACTTATTTGGTATCAAGAATTGACTGCGATCTTTTATTACTATTTCTTAAAACTAACAATCTCTAATGAAAACTTAGTTATTAGTTTTCTAATCACTATATCTTTGCAACCTGATAACAAAAACCTTTAATATTTTAAACTTAGATAAATTGATCTAACAGAAATATCGTAGGTTGCAGGTTGCAAAAATAAAGGGATAAAGAAAAACTTGAATTTGTTGCAAAAACTTTTTTTTAGTTCCTTTCGGGAATTTTTTGAGAAATGGTTTTTGAACTAATCAATTCAGAAAACATATATTTAGTGAAGTAAAAATTTAAGAATTACGGAATAATGTGGTTATTCAAGAATGGTTACATGGGGTTTGGTTTACATCATTATTTGGTTGGATTTGGTTTTAATTTGTGCTTTGATTTGGGGTAAAAACAGTTTTTATTCCTAGATTCATAGTTGCATCATAATTGGGTATTTATATATTTACAGAAGAATTGCCATCAGTATTTTAAAGAAATTGAGTCTTTGCCACAAACTCAGATTTTCTATTTCCTATATCTTTGCAACATAATAACAAATCTAAGTTTAAAGAATCAAAAGTTTCCTCCATATCATACTTGGATTAGAAAATTCCACTTTTGTGACAAAGATCAATTCCTTTCGACAAATTTAACCATTTCTAAAACAATTTTCTTTTTCTGGGATCAGAACTTAACAGACACTGCGAATTTTAGCAAAAATTGCATTGCAATATTTTTGCAAAAGTTAGTTGGAAACCATTAAACGTAAAAATGTTACCTAGTATTGATGCCAGGTATATTAGGATTACCCCAAGTCTCTCTGTGTAAAAACTTTTCAAAAATCGTTTTTTTTTTCAAATTTTATTTTCGTACATTATTTGTGGAAAATTGTAGACAAATAAAAATATAATTGTAAAATAATTTTGGACACTTAGACCCCCTCATTCCTCAAAAATCATTTTTGTTAAGAATTAATTTCTCTGGCATGATTTTATTGATTCTTCCACAATATGTCGGCCATTTTTTTGTATCTAAACTTGATTTTGATAAAATATCCTGATAACTCTTCTAGCTTCTGTGTTTTCCACTGCAGAGTGTATAATTGTTACCAGTCCTGGACAGACATTTATCCAGTTATTTTTGTTTACTGATCTTTCTGTTTGTGGACTATTGGTTCCTCTTCAGAATTGGAAATTTTCGTCAATTTTCAGAAGTATTTCTTGGTACAGAATTAAATAGGAAGCATATATTTGGCAAATGTCGATTGATTGATTTTCTCACTCTTTTGCTAATTTGATATTCTAGAAATTATAAATAGATTCATGGATTCATTTAAAGAATAACTAAAATTTTAACTAGACACACTTAACTAAGGTGTAAGTTTGGTCAGTCGAATTTGCCTCCTTGATAGGCCGTGTACTGTAAAAAGTCAAGTCGCGCCGTTTGAGTTGAAACCGTAGGTTAGGGTTGGGCCGGTATAGGTTAGGGTCGGGCCAGTATAGGTTGGGGTTGGGCTGGTATAGGTTAGGGTCGGGCCGGTATAGGTTATAGGGTCTGGCCGGTAGGTTAGGGTCAGGCCGATGCTTGCCTACTGTCACCAGAACCAGTACAAGGGGTCCATTTGCTTCGAATTAAAATGGACCCTAGTCCATCATGTATAGGATTTTAAACAACAACCACTTTCCCTTTTCAAAATTAGGTTTTGATTTAAAAACATTAAAATCTACCTATTTTTGACACATTGCAAATATCCTGGTTGATGTTCAGTTTAAAGTTTTAAATATGACCAAGGGTTAGATTTTCGGGATGTAGGTTTGCGTGTAGATGTGGTTCACTTACTGGTTCTGCTGTAGGGATTTCATCTAAAAAATATTATTACAATATAACTATTCATAATTTTCATTTTAAAGTTTCTGCCACAAACTAAAACCTTTCATATTTCAAACTTTAATTATTTGATCTAACATAATAGTTTAAAATATCTAAGGTCTGCAACATTGGGTAGCAAAATGATGAAGGTTAGAAAAAGAAAATTAAAGTTTGTGGCAAAGACTCAATGTCTTTTTATGAATTCATAAAATTTAAATTTCAAATTTTTAATACATTTATTTCAATCAATGTTAAGCTTTAAACATTTTGAAGGCCCGCATACATCATCCATTTAAAAATGCACTTTTGTTAAAATATCAATCAAACTGATATTTTAAACTCTAGAATCTTACTTTCAGGGTCGGAGTGGCGAATTCTAGATATGTAAGAATTGGTCTGTGTTAATGATATCCTCGGAATTTCCTTCAATTCTGAACAAAAATATCAGATTTTAAATCTTGTGTTCAAATTAAATTAAATCAAATACAATCTGTATTATGAAGCTCTTCGCTCATATATGTATATGTATATATATGTTAGCTATAGTCGTCCGCGGTTTCAGGAGGGGGGTTTGGCAGTTCATTACCNCCCGAGTGAAATAAGGGGGGGTGTACCTTCCCCTGTATTATACAAAGGCAGTATTCCAAAGACTAGAACAGGTTTTATGACAAATAATTTCAGGTTTTTATCAGGAGGATGAGGTTCTGAATGTTTTCTTTAATTGTTTTTTTTATCAAGACAAACCTGAATGTTTTCTGACCTTGGGTTTTCCAAACAAAAAATGTATTTTTTCTTTAAAAAGTTGTTTGGGATTGTTAACGAAGGGTCGTCATTAATGATCGTTAACAATGGGTTGTCATTAACAATTTTTATGAAAGGGTCATATACCCCACAAAAGTCTGGTAGGTGAGAAGGTACCTAAATGCATAACTAGCACAATTAAAGATACTATTATTATTGTTTATTTTATTCCAATTGATAAAAACATTGCTGCATATAAAGTGTATGTGAACCTCGCTAGATGGTATGAGGGACTGAAGTAAATTCTCCAACCCCGTCTTTAAGTATAATTAAGATTTCTTCTTTGAGAGTGGCAAGGTTACTCTCTCCCTTGTTTGTTTTTAAATTTTGCTTCAGTCATGTTACTGTGTCAGCTCCTGCATTCCTAGCTAACACACTTTCAATAGCATTTTCTTGATGGGGGGGGGGGAGGGGGCGTTTTACACATTTTCCAGTTTTTTATCTCAAGTAGGACATAGAGGGGGGGATGGGATGTTTGCCATCCTGTGTATATCGGTGAAAAAAATAGATAGTGTAAAGCTCAAATCCCCATCTAATTTTTCCTGTTCAAAGTTTTCTTCTTCTTTCTTGTTTATCTTGCTTTAAGCACCCATCTCCACTGTCAAAAGATTTCCCTTCCACTTTTTTCTGTTCAATTTATTTTTTCTTCTTGCTTCTTGTTTCTTGTTTTTACACTTAAAGGCCTTTCCAAATAGTTTTTTTTAACATCGAGTTGTGGAGCAGGTAGGAGAGAGATAATGAGGTTTGTAGGAAGAAGGGTACAGGGGATTTCTCCCTGTGTTCCTTCATTTTATACTGTTTCCCAGTTAGGGGAATTAAGGAATTTACCCATATCTGCACCCCTTATGCAAAATGGGGAGTTGTGATCCCTGAAAGCTCTCTTGAGAGGTATCTTCCATAGCAGTCCAATCCTCACATCTGGTTGAGTAAAAAACCGGTATTGTTGTGCATGGCTTGTATTCCCACGAGGGGTTAAACTCCTCTTTCAGTGCACCAAGCTGAAAATGAAGTTTTGTTTTAATCTATGCTTCCAGCTTCCCCTGTAGGATACAAGATGCATAACTAAACTCAGCGCTTCCCCAGCTGTAATTCTGGGACTACATAGTAAGTCCGATCTGCTTGAGTGAAAGCGGGCAACTGTCATTTATGCAACATATAGAAGTAAAATTAATAGCGAATAAATTTCAAGTTTTACTTAATTGCCATTTCAATAAAAAGGGGTTTTGGGTATGCAACAATTTTCATGGACTCCTATCTTTAGAGGTCCAGGTAAAACGTAAAAACAAAGGAATTTTATTCCCTCTTTGAAATATTAGAACCATTGAATCCCTCTGGGGTTAATTTGAATTCCATTGGTTCTAATCTTTCTGAGAGTAGATGATACAATTCTATATATATTAGCCAAACTTAACATTTTGATAATTTGATTCAATACTTAATATTAGTTGATCAATACCCCAACTTTGGGCATTCCAGGGGCGTACGAGGGGGGGGGCCGCGCCCCCCCGCCCCCCTCTACGCGTGCCCCCCCCTGAGAGGCTGAAGGGGGGCACCCATGGGGGAGGCTCTTTTAATATTACATCTGCATGCATTTCCCTTCCTCAGGCCAGGCACAGTGGCGTACCTAGGGGGGGCAGTAGTCCTCTTGCCCTCCCTGGAAAATACAAAATTAAAAGGAAACTACATTTAAAAAGTAACACCTGACAATGACAAAGACTAAGAATTTGTCTAAATTCACTGTTAATACAAGGAGAGAAAAGTTTTAGCCTTCTAAAAAGAATTCTTCATTACACAAGATATACTATGTCGGAGAGCAGATTTAACAATCTTGCACTTACAGCTTTACACCCTATAAGGCTGTCTGAGCTCTCTACTGAAAAAAATATTGAAATGTGTGTGCAAGCAAATCCCAGAAAATTGTAGCTTTAAAGAGTTGGGGAATATGTAGATTGAGTAAATTCTATCTAAAAATAATTAATGATGCTGTGATTATTGATTTAGTTAGCTGTGATGGAGTTAAGTGATAAATTTATAAAGTTAAAAAGTTAGTTTTTCAAGCAAAGGAATAATTTTTAGACTCTATAAGGTTAGTAACCACCCAAAAATGTAGTCTTTTTGGTGTATTTTTATGGTGAAACAGTACAGTACAGTACAGTATAGTACAGTACAGTATATTACAGTACAGTAAAGTAAAGTAAAGTACATTACAGTATAGTACAGTAAACGTTATTTCTAAACTCATAAAGGTTTGACAGTTGGTTTAAGTCTCCTGGGTCCCCCAGAATATCCCTCCAGATCAAACTGAAAAATTTTAAATTTTCTATCAATCCAATTTTTTGGCAGGCTATCCTTTTATAAATGTTCATAGGTTCCACAATCATAAAAGAAGTTTTATAAAAATGTGCTTTCCTTACGTTTTCCAGAGAGAAGATTTATTCAAAAACTAATAAAAAACTATAGTTTAAAAGGATCGTTTTTTGGGTTGTTCTTCCCTTATACTTTTTCTTTAAAAAATTTAGATTATCTACAGAGTTAGGTATTTACTTTCAGGCATTTTCCAAGGGCGACTTCCCAAGTGACATATTTCCAATTCTGCAGTCTGCAATGGAGCCCAAGCGCTGTGGCTAGGATGGGCTATAGTGATTCAGCAGGACAGGATTTGGGAAGTTGCCGCCAGGGAAAATAACCTTGGCCGAATCTGCTTCTTTGGAAGTATAGTTCACCGAAGTTAGAAACTAGACAGATCGAAAACATATTAGAGAATTTAAAGAGGTGACATCTTCTCTCTACAAAAAGAAAAACATTATGTTTTTTGGAATTTGAAAACTGTCAACCTGGTGGCAGCAATGAAGCTCATAGCAAAGGTCTCTCCTCCTTGTTCAGTTAATTCATATTGCCAAATCCAGACTGCCTTTGTCTAAAGTAAAGAGTAGATTGACCTCTATAGTATATATACTCCTCCCGGTCCCACTGTATAGTAAATATACTCCCTTCCCACCCTGTATAGTATCTATATCCTCCTTGTAGAGTAAATATACCCACCTACTGTATCCGTCTGTTTCTAACCAAAAATGTCAAAACGACAATCAGGCCCACATATTTAATGAGACATTGTTTGACCCCAGAAAAAGAAACATGGGTGATCAAATTTTCAAAAATTTGCCTCTAACAAATTAATTTTGAAAGTCCACAAAATCTGTAAAATTTTTCTTTATTTTTGTTTTACAATGTATACAAAGAGAACATATTTACATTTGAAATAAAATATTGGATTGAAGCGCCCTAAAAGCCTTGTAGTACATGTATATGCACGCCCCCCCCCCCCTGTATAGTATATAAAAACCACCATTGTATATCTTTATTATTACAATATTTTACATCAGATGACAGTGACAAGCCAACAGTCAATTTTTACCAGTGCTGCAGACGGTCAAAATTGACCAGATTTCAATTTTGACCAATGTCGAGCAGGACAAAATTGTCCGGGTCCTGTATATTCACTACCCTTCATTGAAAAAAATTGAAACTTGTAGGCTACTCTTTGGACAGTATAGTGAGTTACCCTGTGAATTTCACTGTTATCAGAAAGATTTTTTGGTCTTGTCACTAATGGGTTAACCCTATGTTCTGTAACCTAGTAAAGGACTATGATTAATAATTTGTAAAAACTTTACATAGGAACTACAATGGCTGAAGTTAATCTCCTCAAAACGCTGAAATAGTTTTGTAAATTTAAAAAATTAACTTTTAAAAATATGTTACTTTGAATTAAATAACAATATCCAAATTCAATTCTCATTAAAACTCTAAAACCTTTTTGTAAAGAAAAAATTCTGTTATCCTTACGTAATTTTCCTGCATATGAATTACAAATGAATATTCAAAATTTAAGGATGTACTTGGTACAAACTTTAGTTGTAGTAATATGTACAGAGCGTCCCATATCATATTAGATTATCTCCTATCTTTAACGCCAAAATACGCACATAATACTCTAAAAATCTAGCATTATCTTCAAAATAAATCTGCTATTAACCTTATTAAATTTTTCAAAATGATTCATTCTTCTTAAATTTTCTGATTTGTCCCCCAAATCGTAATTTAGACCCATTGACGTGGTCTAATTTGATGTGGGACACCCTGTAATATAATGTAATAATGTGTTAACACCAAGCTTTTGGAAATATAAATATCTTGATATTATTTTTTCTTTTTTTGTTTTAGTTAATATTACTCTATTTTTTACTTCCCTTTCACCACCCCATCACCTACTTTTTAACAGCCAAATTAACATGTTTCTGACAATTTTGAGTATTAGACCTGGTTTAGGGGATCCAGTATATGAGGCGTTCCAACAAATGCATCAACATCAGCAGTTATTATGACATCATTAGGTGATACAACATCAAGCTTGTATGCTAACATCCTGAAACAAGGGGTACCTAATTTAATATACATGTATACTAGGGCGAAACATACCATTGCAAGCAGCCCTTGAGAGATTAATAAATGACTCATATAAAGCTTTAAGATTTTACTCATTTATAACAAGTTTACAATCCACATAAATTCAAAAACAGGCTTACAAAAACCAGCTTAGCATTGCCCATTTTTTTAAATCAGCATATTTTTAATTTTTCTTTTTTTGGCCGGAGCCCAAATTCAAAGAATTAAGGCCTTAAATGCCTACTGCTGGTTCAAATTTAAACCACAAATTCAAATCCTTCCTTAATCTTTGACTTTACATCGGTGGTTCAAATTTGAACTGGCAGTAGAAAGTTGAGCAACTGCAGCTGAAATTTTTAATATTTGGTCTTGATTTCCTTTATCTGTATCAGCACCTGTACTTGTTATTATACCTAGTAAGTTGGGAGGAGAGTACACATGGTATATCATATGTTTTGTTGAAGTAAACGAAAGCTCCATTCATCTCTAGACTTTTTCTAGAAAGTAATAGTATGGGGAATTTCCTTTTCTGAACTCTGTGAACATACAAAACATTTAAAAGAGAATTTGTTCAGTCTTACATGAAACCTTCACGTCTGGAAACATATTAATTGCTTGCAAAAATACTGAGAAACACATAATAATCATCAGAACCAAAATTTGTTCTTGCATATTACAGAGTTAACGTATTTGAAACAATTCAGGATTAGTGCTACAAAACATGATAAACTACCAATAATGGCTTTCAATTAACACTTTTCTGGTATATTGTTTAATTTAGGGATTTGTGTACTTTTTGTGACTTCTTTCATAATTCTATGGTTTCAATTTTTAAAATATTAATGGATATACAAAGTTTGTCTCCTTGATTGTAATCATAAATGAAAGGGATTAAAAACTTCCTGTTCTCCAGCCGCCATTGCTGCAAACTCCCCCATTTTTGTGCACTATTCATGCACATTGCAAACAGTTGAAATCTCAACATTATTATTTATAATGAACCAGTCTGAGCTCCCTGGCCATAATTTATATAAATTTGTCAGTTAAAAAAGTCCTAGTTGCGCCTCTGGAGGATTTGATTTGATTTGATTCTATTTCTAAACAATTTTTACTGAGTGATGGACAGAGTGAATTCATGAACATATAGTATTTGTAATATATTCATATTGTAAATGATAGTAATAATTACTTGTAATCCAGAAGTTCTGAGGATATGGATTCTGTATAGGAGATCTGAAGTATAGGCTGAGCTTCTGTTAGCTTGGACCACAAAGACACAGACCTGGATAAAATTAATCAATTAAATCAAATGACATTTGTTTTCAAACCATAAATTATGCGATGACCTGAGAGCCGCTTCTTTGTAAGGAAATTCTTTTTTCCCATGAACTTGAGCATTTTGACCCCAGCAAATACCTTTTAGTTTACAAACATAGATTATTATTACATGTGATATCTTAAGAATAATATAAACTTTTTTCCATATTTTTAATGGTACTATATGATTACCCATGGATACCCAGACCCTCGGTTTAGCTGGTAAAGATCTTGCACCAGGAGCAGAAGCATCTTCAGATAACAAATCACCAGGAGTCTCTACTGAAAGTGCACTTTATAGTTTATACAGTGAACAGTCTAATAGCATCATTAGTCTACTTCTGAATAAAGATTAATTTATAACATTTATTTTTCACACAACAATTACTGCTAAACAAAGATTAAAACTTTCAGAATCTACTTTTTTTTGTTCATATATCAAATGTACTCACTGATTAGGTAGAAAACCAAAACTACAGAAACTAAGGCATATCGCATCCACTTGGTAGGCCTTGGCAAAGAGTAAAATGTCATATCATATATCTGAAAGTTTAATGTCTTCTAAATTATTATTCTAACCCTTCCATGTTGCTTTTTCTTAAAGCACACCACCATCAGAGAAATTTAATTTCAAATTCAAATCCCTGATTCATAATTCTTCCTGAATCTTTAACTTTACAGTGGTCTCTCAAATTTAAACTGGCAGTAGGTAGTAAACCAGAGATGGAATTTAATGAATTTGAGCCATGGTTTAAATCCGCCAAAATCCTCCAAAACCCGGTTTAAATTTAGCGCCGGCTTAAGTCTTGAAACATTTGATACAATTTTAAGTGGAACCAACCATATTTAAACCGCGGCTTAAATTTAAACCGCCGCTCAAATTCTTTAAATTCTGTCACAGGTAGTTCAAATGCATTACATTTGGTGGCAGTGTAAGGAGAGAAGGTATTGATAATGAAAGAGCTTTCTTAAAAGCTATTTTTGAAAGTTTTAAAAGAATAATCTAAATAACAGCAAACTTTGTTTAAAACAAATTCTAGTTGGAAAGTGTGAAACAATATGTTTAAAGTACAAATTTAAAAGAAAATGAAAAAAAAATTTAGTTCAATCTAAATTTCAAATGACATTAAATTAATATCAGCAAGTTGTCCAGTCTAAATGATCTGTAGGCCGGCAGAGCTCAGGACAAGCATCTGAGGGTTGCAGTTGCATATCACCAATGGCACCAACAAAGTTGGCAGTTTCTAAATTAAATATTTAGATTAGAGTTTAATACTTGATTTCATAAAGCTTACATAGCATTATAATTGGGAAAAAATTTAAAGAAAATTATTTTGAAATATCATTAAGATAAAGTCTAAAAAGAATTTTTAGAATTTTAAAAACTTGGTGGTCAATAACAGAATATTGCTAAGCCCAAGATCTAACTAACTGTTAATCTATATATAAATTTGGCTTGTCTGTCTATTTGTCTGTCTGTATGTATCCAATAAACGTCAAAACGGCTGAACTGATCGGGCCCAAATTTTTTGTGGGACATCTAGGGACCCCAGGGAAGGTTTATGAATGATTGAAATTTTAAATATTTGTCTCCATCAAAATTCGATCGTCATTAAACTTTTTAAAATTTTGAAAATCCACGAAATTTTTTGTGAAAATCCGCGAATTATTTTTGTTTTGTTTTACGATGTACACAAAAAGAACATGTTCACAATTAATTCAGAAGATGGGCGCGAAGCGCCCTCTAAGGCTAGTTTATTGAAAAAAATATGCCAATGTAACAAGGCCCTACTTAAAAAATACCATTTTTCCTCTGTGTTGGCCAAGGTCTATTATGTGGGACTGGAAAGAGATCACAGTGATACGAATCATGTATGCAAGCTTCATTTTGTACATTAGGCCACACTAACTAATCAACAGACACAATTTATAAGAATGCATTAGTTAATTATCTTCAATTTTAACAATATGGTTATTACAAAGATTCTGAAAAATATTTAAATAATTGGAAAAGCAACAAAATTTGATTACATTTTTAAGTTGAAATATGGAAATGAATCTAAGGTATTTATAATTCATTTCTTGTACTTTTTGATCAAACTACTGATTTTTCAACCACTCATTTTTTATTTATATTTCTAGCTTGGTATCAGAAAATTATGTAAATATTTCCCTATTTTCTCTATGAACTTTAAAAAAATGAAAAAAGGGTATAATTAATTCAGATTATATGATTTAGATAGTTCCTCGTGAAGTAGATCTTGGTCATATCCTTTTTGCCAACTGTCTGAGGTCTGCAACAAATTTGTGTTTATATATCAAGTTAAATAAACTTACAGGAAAACAACGGTACTACAGAACCCGAGACTGAAGACATAGAATCTATCATATTATGAAACCCAGTATCAGAAACCTGGTTACATGAATGGGGTCAAGCAGTTTTGTAGATTCCAGTTTTTTATTTAAGAAATCTTATTGTATTGGTTATTTAACATTCTCTTTTGGTTTTTTAATTTATTAAAATAAAATCTACACAAATGCATTGATTCCAATAAGGAAACTCGGGAGTTTTGTTCAATGATACTAACTAAAATTTTCGGATCAGAGATAACATATGCAAATTATTCCACAAGCAGTCTTTGCAGTACATTTTATTTCCAGATGTAGGCAATAACACTACATCCTATCTACAATGTAAGTTTATATATCTTTATATGTTTAACCCTATCCCTGCTGGGGTACTTGAAAACCAGGATACGCTGGGGGGGGGGTCAAATTGCCCCCCCCCCCCCCAGCAGGAATAGGGTTAAAAGGGAAAATTTTTGTTTATTTTATAAATTTTAACTCACGGAACTACAAGTTTAAGTTTATCTTCCATTCATTTTAGAAAACAATTTAAAAACACTTTTTACTTTCCAATCTAATATGATCAGAACAATAACAAGCCTCATTTTTAAATTTACCTTTTCTAACAAAGTCTCAAAAAGAGTCCTGTATCTTTGACGGTTTTCTAAATCCATCCTTGAGTAAAATTACACAGATACAATCAAGGATGTAAGGCAAGGAAAGTCATTTCAGAAGTGCACACATCTTTAGTACTGCAGTGTACTGTCTCTGGGCGCTAATGTAAACACAAGACGGATGTCGAAGCCTGACATGGGATCGATCCATCATTCACATAAAAAATCAATAAAATATTCTGGTCATAGGAAATTATTATGTGAATTATCAAAATTATCAAAATTTAATGCTTTTAACCTCCTCGGATACTAAGCGAACACTGATGCATCTATTATTGTTTACAAATTCCGCCCAAAGAGAACTGGTTTAAATATGTACACAGAGTATACACGACCGAAATTGACTTTTCTTGCCTTACATTCTTGGATACAATAATATTTTTAGTAAATTAGCATATAAATTCATCTAAGTTCCTTCCTTATAAAAACATGCAAATTTACACTTTTTTTGTAAGGAATTTTACTGGAAACCCATACCCAACAAACAAAACACCGGTTTTCAACGAGATTAACATTATGGAGAACTGGTTGATAATTCACGTGATTAATTCACGTACACCCTCCTTGTGTTATACTCGTGGTAAATCCACTTTTCACAATCTTGGAGATTCCTCCTGTGTACAGCACGGGTAAAAAACGCGAAAATATTCTTTGAAAATTCTCGTTGTTATTTCACATGTTGTTCACGTAGCAAAATAAACCAGTGCAAGATATTGCATATTCCTATATCCGTGTTAAGCTCGAGTAATGCAATGCCAGAATTTTTAGATTTTAATTCTCGTAATTATCATGTGTGCTATATTTGAGATAATTCTATAGTTCAATTCTCTTAGTTTTTTCACATGTTCTGCTCGTAGAAAAGATACCAGTGCAAGCTCTCGCATATTCCAAACGTGTTAATCATGAGTAATGGAATGCCAGAATTATCTAGATTTTAATTCTTGTAAATATCACGCGTAAAATATTTGAGATATCACGGGAAGAATTTAATCTTTCATTTTTAACAGAGTTGCAAAATCACAACACTTTGTGTCTCTGCTCATCTTTTAGAAACTAAAAGTTTATTGTAGTAAAATGAAATATTTCAACTGACATAAATTTTTCAGATTATAACAAGCATGAGCATAGTATAGAAAAGTTTCACATTGAATTTTGTATTGTATTTCTCAACAACCCCTTTTTGGGATATCAATATTTTAGATATATACAGGAAGATGAATGCATGTAGTTATGAACACAGTAACATAATTGAACATTGTTTAGACTTGAAATATCACTTTGTGATAAGAAAAGTTTAAAGTTTACATGTTGAAGATGTTTAATGTAAAAGATATAAACTAAAATGTTTTGTTTCTAATCATTTTGTAATAATTATATACTTTTACACAGTATATTTTATAATATATTTATATATCAGAAATCAATTATGTATCCCCCCTTTCCCAGGGTTTTCAAAAATGTAATTAAAGTAGATGGGAGAAAAATAATTTTCCCATGTAAAAATCCCGTGTTCATCTCGTGAAATAAACTCAAGTTTTTGCCGTGTAAAAACTCGGTCACTCGTGTGAAATAAACCAAATAATCTTGTGTTCTTCACGGGTTTTTGTTTGTTGGGTAAGAGGTTCCAGAACTACAAGAAAAAAACAAATTGGAAACTAGAAAACAAAGAAAAGATTGCTTTTCGAGTGGTTTATATTTTAGGTTGAAAAGTAGATTCCTCTCCCCATCTCTTCAATGGAACATAAAATTGTTGAATTTTTTAGATTTTAAGTGAAAAAAATGAATTTTTTCTAGGGTGGGAAGGCATAAAGTTTCAAATAGGGGTGAAGCCCAATATTTTCTATTTATATAAAATCTTTAGTATTTCCGCCTAATTTTTAAATTTCAGACTACTACTCATAAATATACCTTGCTCCCCACATTCCACCAAGGATTGATATAGGATGCAACGGATGATCTCTCATAATGTGGAATGGCAGGCCTGCAGTTATATATTAAAGTAAATTTTAGGAATGTTTACAAATGTCTCTAGATTTTTGATGTACATATTTCTAAGCTTTTCCATTTTGCTCTAGGTCTTAATTATGAACTACCTACTGTGGCTAAATTGCCTAATGTAACTGAACTACCTACCGTGGCTGAACTACCTACCATGGCTGAACTACCTATGGTGGCAGAACTACCTACTGTACTACCTACTGTGGCTGAATTACCTACAGTGGCAGAACTACCTACAGTGGCTGAACTGCTTATGGTGGCTGAGCTACTTTCTGTAACTGAACTACTTACTGTGGCTAAACTACCTACCATGGCTGAACTACCTTCTTTGGCTGAACTACCTACCGTGGCTGAACTACCTATGGTGGCTAAACTACCTACTGTTACTAAACTACCTACTTTGGCTGAACTACCTACCATGGCTAGACTACCTACTGTGGCTGAACTACCTACAGTGGCTGAACAACCTACTGTGGCTGAACTACCGAAAGTAGCTGAACTACCTACTGTAGCTGAATTACCTCCAATAATAACTAAATAATTTGGCTTTACAATCCTAGTAATGGATCTTATAATTATTGATGGTGTGAGTGTAAAAATCTTCTCTGTTAGAATTGTTACTTGAATTGGTAACTGTTTTTTTCTAACCATTTAAATCCATCCAATAAGAAATTTAAGATTAAAACTTAGGGAATATTTAAAATTACCTAAACTTAGCCAATCATTAACAGCAGCTGTCTCCCTTGCAGAAAACCTTAAATCACCAACATGTTCAAGGTTCAACTATAATAAGGGCAAAACTTTTGAATCTCAAACCTGTGACTTTGATTCTCAGATTGTTAAAACCCTTTTGTACCAAGAAAGAATTGCTAAGTGGTGTCGGTGTATTCGGGAAATCCATATTTGGATTTATCCTCTTAAAAAAAGGAATGATTATTATTTCTCGACATTTCTGGCACTAAATGTTAAGCTCTCGGCGTTTTAGCATAAAGCCAATAATGGACTTCAGGTCCAAACTGGTAAAAGTGCTCAACCCCTAAATTTAAAACATTGTGCAATGGATACTGAACTTGAAAACTATTCCATTCAAAATGTTTGCCCTTTAATAATTTATTTTAATTTTTCATAAATATCCAGCTTAAAGATGCTTCTCAGAATTGCATAGTTCTGTATTTTACACTGTATTGGATGGGTAGTCATTTATGTATTGTTTTAGCTTTTAAGCTGTGTACCTAGAGTCCAAATCTCTTGAAACCATAAAATCCACAAATGGATCTGCCAAGGGTAAAAACCGCCAGATCATTCCAAACTTTCTGGATATATCCCCATAGGGAGGAACACTCAGTACAGAACATAAATCCATCCTGTACATAAATGGAAACCAGCATATTTGAGAACTACAACTATTGTGTTGGATATTCATAATCTCGATTGCTTGATCTTCAACTGTGGATGCACTTTTAATTTGTGGATTAATTCAGATATTCCTCCCCAGATCAAAGCTTTCTTCAACCCATGATCAAAGACTTCTGACTGGGTACGGTTACCATATCGCATATCAAATAAATATTAAACTAATCTGAAGATTAACAAAAGATTGATATCAAGATTCAATCTCAATATCTACAATGCAAGAATTCCTGCAGCTATGGTCATTCACCCAAAAACAACTCTGAACAGAATGGAATGTCAGAATCACAATTTTAAAGGCACACTTTAAAATTAAAAGACACAAATTTAAATGTTTTTCCTTAATCCGAAACTGGAATCAAATTTGCTCTGTTTGCTAGCCTCTATTTGCATCTTTCTCGAAATGGCCTTACTAGAATTTGTTCTTTAACCTTACTAGAATTTGTTGTTTGCCTCTTTGGAGTTTGTCTTGATGGAATTTAACCATTACGACTGTCCAGAATCAGGTGGCATTTTTATTCAGAGTTTAAAATGGTAAAAAATTTAGACCACAATTTTTTGTCTTCTGAAATGCTATATTTTTTCAATTTTTTGTTGTGAGGATATTACCTGTTGCTTTTACAAGACAGGGTACAAAGATCATGTGAAGCATTAAGATTAAGATTAGTTGGATCCAGGTAAAGTCTCATAATCCAACCAGGATAATGTTCCTTAGCAAAGATCAATACAGATGTTAAGGCAATCAATTTTCAGTAAAGTAAATTTGTTGGCCAAAATAAAGACTTTAATTCATTCAACTGTTTAGTTTCCACGTGTATCCCAAAAGTATGGTCAAAAGTATTTGGTACTTTAAGCCTCTCAAAATGGTCAGACACAATTAGTGAAGAAAAAAATGAAGAAACTGAACATTCACATAAGGGTGCAAAGAAAGAGTGATTAGAAAATTATCAATTATGATAATGTTTATTTTCTTCTTTTATCAACGTAAAAGATAAGGAATTGAGTCCTTGCATCAAACTCAAATTGTAAACAATAATATTTAATATTTGTTTGTGGCAAGGACAAAAAATAGAAAATCAATTTTTTACATAACACAATTTTTAGTTCGTTTTAAATCAGGAAAGTTTGTTGGTGCCTCCCCCTTAAAAAAACCTTTTTAAAAAAAAAATTATACTTCCCTCTTAATGCTGTGGTGTATGCTTCAAGGGGTGAAAAATAGAGATGGAAACGTTTATCAAAAATATATATTTTTATAAGATTTCTTACATAAATAATATTATCAAATCTATATTACCATTAAAGGCAGCATTGATTAAAGCTTTTTCAATAAAACTTGTTTAGTTAAGGGATGGAATTTCAAGTGACCCTCCATTTATAGAGTGACATGTCCGATGTACCTTTGAAACCTTCATTTCTCCATCGTTTCTGAAGCAAGAAATGCATGACTCACTTTTGTATAGAAACCACTAATGAAAATAATCAGTTTTCATAATGGGAAACATGGATATTTTATGCAATTCTTGATCAGCTTTAAAGGGTATTGTTGTGAATCAGAATTAAAATTATGCCTGTAGTCTCTTTAAACCTCTCAATTGATTCTATATCAATTAAACTGCAATTTGTAGGTTTGTGAACTTTGAAGAAATGAAAAAAAAAAAATTATAATATGATCTTTAAAAAAGATAATGAAAAGCTTTAAAAACACTGAATCTAAAATCAAGAATTCGAGGTTTTCTTTTAACAAATCTCCAGATGTAATGTTAAATAAGCCCCCCCCCCTGGGAGGGGGCATGCGTAGGGGGGCCGATACCCCTCATATGCCCCTGTATTTGCCCTAAAAACAGTGTGAAAGGAAGAAAATATCACATACAATAAAAAATTGAGTATATAGAACGGAACGAGGATGGAACCGTTCTTCGACTAAGAACACCAAAAAAGGAACGGAGCGAAACAAGAACGGAACGATTGGAAAAAAAGGAACATTCCAAGCTCTAGGTACAACGTGTACTGTATTGCAGTCATACTGTCTAGTCAGGGTACCCACTACCCAGTGTAAAGTCAACAAATGTAGCCTGGTAAGATCACAGTGATGTTTGATTGATAATAAAAAAGTAAAAGCTTACATCTAAATAGTTTAGATTGTTCTCAATGCCATTATAATATACAGACTTCAAGTCTCCAAAGAAAGAGAAGGAAATTATTTTCTGCTTTTCTCCTTACAAAAAAAATATTTTATATTTATAAATCTTTAAAAAATCTTTAATTATGAATTGAATGCCATGAAATAACTACAGTTTGGACCTAGGTTGGTTATGTTCACCTCTAGATTCAGAATGGAAACCACACAACGTTTTTGTAGATGGTATTGAATCTAAAATAAATTATTTTTAAAAAATGATTGAAGTCCCGTTAACTGCGTAAAAACTTTAAATCCAAGTTCCAATTTGAATTCAAACTATTTCGTCCCTAAGCAGATTTTCATAAATTGTCAAGGAAGTATAGGCCTAATAGAGATATTTGTCGAAATTGGCATAGATTTTTTCTTGAAAATAAAATTAGGTGAAATATTAGTGCCTGGTAAAATTGTTTTTGCCGGGATTTTTAGAAATATATACAACAAAACATGTTTATTAAAAATTAATTAGTTATGTTCTATAAAAATGTGCAATTTTTTATGAAAATCCTCGATATATTAAACGTAATGCTGATAGAAATGCTACGCATTTGCCTTGGAACAAATAAACAACTTTGCATATGAAAGATTGTGAAATAGGGATTTAAAAATGCGTAAAAAAGATAATGAAGATGTTCTCTATGTAATCTTGACTCAAGACCATAAGTTTACCTACTAAATATTGAAGGCATTTGCTCACACATTTGTCAACTTCCAATCCTTAAAAAATTTAAATTAGAAAAAATTAGATTTAACCTTCAGTTAAAGGTTGAATATTCCCAAAAATGGTTCAACTTTTCTTCAGTGTTTGATAAAGGAATGTTATTTATAAATTCGGACCATAAAAGTGAAACAATGATACAACTTTCACTCCTCAACCTTCTCGTTTTCAATATTCTCTCATAAACATTTAAACACGGCGAATGTTTTACTTCACATCAGCTTGATGTTTAGGCCACTGGTAAAACTATTTAATTATAATGTAACACATAATATTGCATGCATGGATATTTGAACTTTAAAAACTTACAGAGTTAAGCATTTTTCATAGAACAATTTTGCACATTTTTTTTCATAAAAGGTTGCAAAGATATATGGATTAGAAAATAAATTATTGTGGAAAACCCTTATTTCCAATTTTTATTCCAGATAAAAAAATTTAACTTATTATAGAAACATTAACAAAAAGTGAAAAAGAGGTCATCGACCTCCATTTTTAAATATTGGTTTAGGAAGGTCTGTAATAAATCTAGGTCCTGAGATTACGCTACTCAAAGTCTAATTACAGTCTCACTGTCTCTATCTCTAGCCAAACTCAAGGCTCTCAATCTCTTGCCAAAACTCAAGGCTCTGTAAACGTCCGTATAACAAAAAGGTTCATGTAGTACTAATTTATTTATATACAGGTGAAATTAAACTGACCGGACTAGCCGGACAGGGTCAACATAAAATTAGATAAGATATATTACTAGCATGGATAATATAGATCGTACTAAGCATTACTGCAGAATATGCTACAGGTCATCGTGGAATTGTCAGTGATTTAAATTCAACATTTTCTGATCTGTGTAAGTTTCCCTAAATTGGAGGGTGTCAAGCTATTTACTAAATGTTTAAAAACTCAGTCTCAAAAGAAACCAAGTAATTGTCTCAAACTCTAATTATCTAATCCCTGTATCTTTGCCACCTGTTGTCTAGATCTTAGATCAATCAGGTTTTCAAGATATAGGAATTTGAAAATTTGGGGTTTGTGAAAAGAACTCGGTAACCTTTGGTGTCACAAAGTGTCAATTCTCACATTAATTTTAAAATGTATGTGTTCATAATTATCATTATTTTCTTAATGTGATTGATCACCAGAATTATCGATACTCCCTGCAAAGATAATTTACAGAAACCCCTGTCATAATTTCTAAATGGTTTAATAAATATTGTATAAAATAAATATTCTCCAAATATTGTAAAATTATGAAAATTCTTGAATAGCGTGTTGATCTAAATGTTTTTTAATGGTAAAATTGACGAAGAATTAAAATTTAAAAAACCAAGATGATCTTTGATCAATATAAAAAGTTATTGCCTAAAAGTGTTATAGAAGAATAGTCAAAAAAGGAAATTATTTTTTTTGCCTTAAACTCAAATTTTCTTATTCATGTATATTTGTTACTTTATAAACCTTTGACATTTCAAAGTCTGATAATTTGACTTAACATAATTCATTGTTTGAAAGATATAATAATTACAAAGGTTATATCCTTTGAAAATCAGATTTTGAGGAAAAGACTCGATTTCTGAAAATCGTTTTTGAAAGATTTTATCTTTGAACATTATGAAACATTGAGTAATCTCAACGAAAAAGATGAACACATGCCGTTTTAGATCTCTCTCTATATCTGGTCGCTGAGATAAAAGGATTGGATAGATGTGGCCTCATTCCTTGGTCGGGTTTTCTTTAAAATAAAGGGACCGTTCACTTATTTAGGTAATTTGAGGAGAAAACTAAAAAGTAGTAAAATGAAATATTTTGATGTCCCATTGGACCATTCATGGAAAGTTCCGGTTTTACAAGAACTTTTAAATACAAGAAAGAATAATTTATATGTTGAAGGATTCGATGATTACGTAATAACTGAAATGATAAATATGTTATGTAATGAGTAATGATCAATGTCAATTCATTGGTCTTATTTTTCAAAGACAACTGTGGCCGGAGAAAAAGAAAATTAAAATACTAAATTAAATTGTAGTATCTAGTAGAGGGTTAAAAATATCTGAAATTTTTTTCAAAATTACTTTAAAAATGTCTATTTTCAAAATATTAGTTAATTTAAACATTTGACGGTTTTCCCTTCTTTCCCAAGGAATACCTATGATTTATTGAAGGGTTGGAATCTAGGAACCGGTTTGTATGAACCTGTTAATTTTTAGGACAAATGATTGTAGGGCAAATGACATAGCACCGTTAAATTCTGGCAAAAAAAACACTGGTAACAATTCAGTTTTGAAGCCATTTAAATCGACCAAATACCTAGCGAAATCCAACTACGAGTTATAAAACCGCAACAACTTTGAAATACGCTGTTGTGGCTGGAATTACAATCTCCAACAGTTTTAGACAAATTTGTTTTCTAGCAAAATCACTTTGATTATTTTGACCATATATCAATCATCCCAAAGTGCCTGGGAAATAGATATTTTCCAAATCAAAAAAAAACGTTAATAAGAATTAACGATTGTACAGAATAAGATACCTACTCTGAAATAAAATCCTATTTTCTGGAGAGACTGCAGGTTCATATAGAACGGATATCCACAATAAACGTAATAGAATCGTCACCAAAATTATTTGTTGAAAAATTAATCTAGTTCTCATAGCTAATGTTCAGTTCTGAAAGCAATTGAGAATGTAAAGTAACCAAGCAAAATAATAAACTAATGTTATTTTACATCTGTGAACTTAATTTGGACATATGATGGATTAACACTAATCAATATACAACAATTGTAACAAAAGTTTTTTTGATTTTAAAAGAGAAAATTTAATTTTCTAGCGAAAAAAGGAAAAATTGTTGACTTAAATTCCGGGAAAATTCAGAAAAATTTTTTCCAAAAATATTAGAAAATGATTTCCAGAAAATCTTCGATTTTTTTCATGTACTCTTGAAAATCTCCAGAAGTTCGACAAATGAAAAACTTTAAAAAACTAAGATCTTTATAATAATAACAATAACAATGATGATATTTATTTTGACTAAATGAATTGAATTTTTGCCACAAACTCTAACGTATCAATAAATTTTTCTTTGAAACCCGATGTCATAGACCTTTAATATTTCAACCTATAAATTGTGTTGGATCAAATAGTCTAAGTTTGAAATATCAAAAGTTTACTTTATCAGGTTGCAAAAAAGTAGTAATTTGAAAATTTAAGTTTGTGGCAAAACTCAGTTCCTTTAAAAAGTATATTTTACATTTAGGTAGAGGACTGAGGACTTGAAGGTCTGAGACCGTTTTTAATTTATCCCTTGTATATATAAATGAATAGAAAATAAAAACAAAATAGAAACATCGCGCAAGAACAAGCTTTTTTTCGGATAAATTCAACGGATAACTATTTTTTCCCTTTTGATTTAAAATAACTATTTAATTCAGAAAGTTCTTGCTAAAGAAAACTTTTTAAAAATTGATCTCGATTTTTTTTTAGTTTAGGAAGCTGTAAATATGTTTTAGCTAATTTTACATGTATAATTGATCATACACAAAGTAAAATATCATGATTTGTATTCATTATGTTAAATATTAATGATCTTTTTTACAGAGAGAAATAATTAGCTTTTAAATATAGGTAAGTGAACTCCTACTTTCGACCCCATTTTAACCGTTTTAATGTTAATCAAACATTTATTTTTCAGAAATTTCTATGGTAAAATGATGGAAGAAGGCAAATATAGTATTTTGTATAGCATTATATATATTATATATAGTATTAAAAATGATACAAAAACAATCATTACAACACAATAGTTTTTGGATTGTTTTCTGGAAAATATTTTCTGTTTGGGTCAAATTTGGGATATTGAATAAATCGCAAATGTTTAGAATAAACAATCTAAAAAAACGTTTGCTCTTAACTTAGGTACATTATGCAAAATTTTGACCCAGGAAGAAAATGTACAAACTTAATGCAAATCCTAGTGCTGCATAGAGTTGCTTATAATGCATCCTACTGTAGCAGAATCGAGATTCTCTTGATCTTTTAACGATCTATCAGGGTTAACAATAGCCACCCTGTTTGTAAATATTTATAAATAGAATGATGCCAAGCTTAAAACCCGATTTTATCTACCTGACGCTAGTTTGGGTGGATAGTAGTGCGGGTAGAACGGACATTGACCCAGGGAGTTTGATAAAGCTAGGGAATTCCAAGCTGAACCCGGCAGGTCAACTTTTGCCCGGGAGTAGAGTTAGTTGGTGATCAACCATCTCAGCTTGAAGTACAAGAACGTATACGAGATCTGCAGCTCTGTATTCTCATCTTCAATAATATTTTATTATTAGTATCGTATTTGTTTGTCCCGATTCTGATTTATTCATAAACAACACTACAGGGGAGTAGCAAAACATAGGATTTTAACGTAAACAAGAACTCCATCTTCACCTTATCTTGGCTCAACATCTCAGCTGAAAGAAGGAACACAGAAGTATAATCCCTGATAAATATACAAGCCATCCACAATGTTACCGTTTTTTTACTCGACCAGCTGTAAAGACAGGACTAATATGAAAGATTCCACCTGATTAATCTTTAATACTTTAATACTGGCGATCTCAGAGCTACACCCCCAACTAAAAAATTAACGTTTAACTGAAACCTGGAAGATGAATGAGCAGCGAACCTCAGAGGATCCGGCGGATCCCATAGCTGCACCTCTCAGCGGAAAATAACGGTAAAACATATATTCCCTTAAGTCCCCGAGAAGAATGGCAGAATTCATTTCATCATCAATGAATTTTTAATCTTTTTTATACAGAGAGCAGGGGCATGCACACGGATCATTTTGGATTGTAAAGGTTGAAACCCTATTGAACCAAAACTAATGTACATGCTATTTAATAAAATTCTAATAAAAATACAACTTGAAGTATACAATGTCAGTTGTCTAAGTTTAAAGACTTTTTTATCTTTTATTCTTTAATTTGATAGTTCGAATATAAAACTTCCAAGATATTAAATTAGTCTAAAATTGAAGATCTTACTTAAATAGTTAAATGTTTTAGCTTAAGTCCTTTATTCTTTAATTTGATAGTTCGAATATAAAACTTCCAAGATATTAAAACTTAAATAGTTAAATGTTTTAACTTAAGTCTTGAGTTCCAATGATATTCGAAATTCTAGAATTAGAACTTTATCAACATGTTTAATTTTAAATCCCGAGGGCCTTTATATAAAAGGGAAATAGAAGATTTCTTTCTTCCTTTTTTCATGTTTTTCTCTTTACTTAGTTAAACTGAAACCTGGGAGATGAATGAGCGGCGAACCTCAGAGGATCTGGCGGATCCCATAGCTGCACCTCTCAGCGGAAAATAACGGTAAAAAATATATTTCCATAAGTTCCCGAGAAGACTGGCAGATTTCATTCATTATCAATGAATTTTTTATCTTTTTTATACAGAGAGCAGGGGCGTGCACACGGATCATTTTGGATTCTAAAGGTCGAAACCCTATTGAACCGGAACTAATGTACATGCTATTTAATGAAATTCTATTAAAATTACAACTGAAAGTATACAATGTCAGTTGTCTAAGTTTAAAGACTTTCTTATCTCTTATTCGATACCTCGGATATAAAACTTCAAGATATTAAATTAGTCTAAAATCGAAGATCTTACTTAAATAGTTCAATGTTTAAACTTAAGTTTTGAATTCCAATGATACTCGAAATTCCAGAATTAGAACTTTATCAACATGCATAATTATAATCCCGACAGCCTTGATTGTTTCCTTTCTTCATGGTTCTCTCTTTACCTAGTTAAACTGAAACCTGGAAGATGAATGAGCGGCGAACCTCTGAGGATCTGGGGGATCCCATAGCTTCACCACTCAGCAGAAAATAACGGTAAAAAATATATTTCCATAAGTCCCCGAGAAGACTGGCAGATGTCCTACATTATCAATGAATTTTTAACCTTGTATATACAGAGAGGAGGAGCGTACACACGGATCATTTTCGATTGTTAAGGTTGAAACCCTATTGAACCGAAACTAACGTACATGCGATTGGAATAAAATTCTAACAAAAGTAAAACTTTAAGTATACAATGTCAGTTGTCTAAGTTTAAAGATTTTCTTTTTATCATTTATTCTTTAATTTGATATTTCGGATATAAAACTTTAATACTGCAATCAAAAAACTAAACGTCATTTTTGTAAAAAGTTACGTCCGTAAAGTTAACTAAAAACGAAAGAAATAAAAACCCTCAGTAAAATCGAGTCCCTATAAATAAATTGTCTAAATTAATAGATTTTTTTCGATATCGTTTAGAAATTGATCTTTAAATTAAGAGGACTTTGGTTTAAAATCTGAATCTTCCTTCTTACCCGGAATCTTCTCTCAAAATAAACTAATAATCTTCTTTTCAACTGATTCAGTCTGAGAGAACTGTAACGCCTCCTGAACCGACAAACCTCACCGCAGAGAAACGAGGATGTCTCAAGAAAATGGGACAACTACGCTACATCGATATCTCTAATTCGTAGCACAATATAAACGAGCACCATATCTGCTCTAGAGTATTGAAAATTTGAGAAAAATGAAGAGATTAAACCCTAATCTCTTTTCAATGTCCTAGACAGGAGCGCAGAACCATCAATGTTCTACGTGAGTCTAGTTCTTAAGTATAATGTGTTTTCTTCCAATTGAAAATAAACGATTCTCAAATAAGCCATTCACATTTAACATTTCTTAATTTTGGAGTCTGTTATCTTCACGTCAGTCGTGTAGATTCTAAACCACAGAGAGAAAAGAACATGCAGGAAGGAACCATCAATGTTCCTCGCCAGTATGTATCTTAAAGATATAGTTTTCTATCTTTTAGTTTGGCTAAATAGCATCAAGACGACATAGTTTAACTAATGTAATGCCATACCAACGTAGAACCTTCAATGTTCTTCGTGAGTATACAATCGTTGTATTTTCCATATAGTGTACATCGACTTTATATCAATGTTTCATGAAAATTGTAAAGTGTTTGTGCAAACTGATTTCTACACAAATTGTCCAAATTACATGAAAACGGTTCTTATATTAAAAATTTCTATTCAATCCGCATACCCTCTTATCGTCAATGACATATTATATGCCTTTAATGTTCTACTACTTCACTGGTGTACTCTCCAATTTATATGTTTTGCAGGATCCAAGTATCCTTGATTGGAAATTTTTAATTTACGAAATGTATGTATTTGATCCTTATACAAATCTCTCAAAAATGTAAACGAATTTGACGTTATTATTGAATACATGTAAACTATTTTGAATTTATTTCACAAATCTCTTAAAAAAAATGTAAACAAATTTGTCGTTAAGCATTATTAATGAACACATGTAAACTATGTTGTACAATTTAAATAATAAGACAATAAATATTTAGATCTCAAAAAAATCTTTAATACTTTCAGCTCCCCATTTCGCATATGTGGTGCAGTTCTGGGTTTCCTAAAATCCATTAAAGTCGGAAAGACTTTAAAAGAAAGAAGCAGGGATCATCTACTGAAACCCCTCATACCCTTCCTCCTTCAAACTTCCTTTTCTTCTTCCTTCCTGCTCCACAACCCGATGTATCAAGGACTACTTGAAGAAACCTCATAACATAGATAATGC